AATCGAGGAGCTGATAGACAAGGAATTTTTGGGCTATGATAGTAGCAGACACCTTTTTTCACGGCTTAATTATTCAAGTCCAATATCACATTAATTTAAAAATATTGTTTGGGTAGCTCTTTGCATGAACTTCCAAAGTTTATTTTAAATATATCGATCGCGAGTAGAATTTTAAGTATCTTTTATACATTTAAATATTGAAGGGGAAACAACAGGATTTATGATTCCTTTCCCTTTGTTTTTTTTGTTTTTTGTTTTTTTTACTTTTTAGCTCTATTTTATACCATTTAATAAATAAGTTTTATTACATATTGAAACCACGAGAAATGTCATTTAATTATAAATAATGAATGCATTAAAACTAAACATTATTATTTCCCATCTCATTTCCTTTTTATACATATATTTGGAACATCTTAACCAAAACAGAACTGCTGACGTAGACACCACTTCCGTTCCAATGCTTTTATTTTCTCGAAATCTTTCAATCAATCATATAAACAATGCCTGACGTCTTGATTAGAAAAACATTTGTCGTCATGTTCACCGAATGTATCCATTAGCTCGTGTTGGGTAACGTTCGAGTGTCGTTAACACGTCTCGTGTACTTTAACGAGGATCTCAGTAATGGATTTAACGGATCTCTCACATAAATGGGGAAAACAGTCCGTTGTTTCGTTTTTTTAGGGGCTGGGTTGAGCACAATATCCATATTCACTCATCGAAACGTAGACTAAACAATGACTATCAATCTTAAAGGCATATAGGATCCCAAAAGTAACATACGACAGGGGCGGAGCCAGGAATTTTCTCGGGGGGGGGGGGGGGGGGTGGGGGCGGGGGGTTGTTGTTCATCAGCCACAAATTCTGAAATGTAGACAGTTTTTTTCCGGACACTTGGCCTCCGAACATCAATAGGTGGTGGTGGTGGTGGTGGCGAATGGTGGGGGTGGTAGTGGGTGGGGCTCGAACCATATTCAATGGGGGGGGGGGCTGTTCAAATCCGACGATTATTACACTATATTACAGAATAGTGTACAAATACCCTCTAACCAAGCTGGCTCTGTCCGTAGTTTGTGCACATGCGAACATTATTACCAGTAAAATTGTTGAGGTGTCAGAGCGGGGGGGGGGGGGGGGGGGGGAGGGGTCACATTATTTTAAAGGAATTTCGGTGACCCCCTCCTCCCCTGGATCCGCGCCTGGATACCGAAATTAATATTTAAAAAAAGCTTAATCGGATTAAAGACGGTATGAAATTATTCCGTCTGGCTTGCTGTCAGAAGACACCAAGAAAGGTTAGGTGATTTCCAACGTGCAGTAAATTGACTGATTTATGTTGGATAAAGAGTGCTGTCGACGAAATCGCGTTTCGTGCTCAAAAGGTTGTGCATGGTGTTTCCACTGTTTTCTCGAAAAGTGTATAATCTACTGGGCTGAGTGTTCGCAAGGTTAGGTTTTGAACATTCCCCTTTGGATTTTGAGTGGTGTTATTATTGGAAACGAACATAATGTACGGAAAGCAAATGATCCTGTACGCCTTTGATTTATGACAATCTCCAGTCACTCATAGAAACGCAGCTTTCACAGTTACCACGGAGCTTGAGTGTTTTCAATTCGAATTGCGAATTGTTTCCAGTTTCAGTTTGTCTTAGAACTATATTTTTTTTATAACCAAAACAGTACATCAAGCGTGGAACCTAACAATCGGAAAACAGATAAGTGTTAAAAGATTGGGACAACTTTCGATGGTATTTGTGTCGTTTTTCTTATGTAGTGTGAGTCAAAAAGAAAGTGGCCGGGATTAATGATTTTTACCCTTAAAAGGCAATTAAATTTGATACACCGATGAAGCACGTATTAATTAAACGAACATTTTCTTCCACTCATCTGAAAAAATATTACTGAAATTGATCCTTGCTAACGGAAGTTATATGTGTGTGTTACTAATTAACAACCCAATCTACATCAGTCAATGAAATGCTAAATGCTTTGAAGCAGAGTCGTAATGACTCGAGTCAATGACTCGACTCGAGTACGACTCGAGTCACAATTTTTGGTGATCTCGACTCGACTCGAGTCCCTAAGGGTAAATGACTCGACTCGACTTGAGTCACTGCGAGCAAATGACTCGACTCGACTCGAGTCCCTCATCAGAAGAGTCGACTCGATTCGAGCGAAGGCTAGTAAGACTCGAGTCCCCCAAAAAGTATTTGCAATGACTTACGGTGCAACATTTATGTTCACGTCACTTTGCGAATGCAGTACGGTACAGCAGCCGCTTGTCATGTCATGGACAAACATACAAGACTCCCACAAGGGCGGATCCAGAACACAATTTTGGAGGGGGCCCAAAAAAATTTTTGGTCCCCCAAAAAAGTGGGTCAAAAAAATTACGGCGTGGGGTTCGGGGCCCGCTTAAGGGCCCCGAAATTCTTTTGGATTCTAGATGCTCTGTGGTGCGATCTGAGGCAATTTCTGACCACTTTAACCAATTTTTTTTGAGGAAAAGATGGTGGTGTACTCATTGCCTGCCTTTATTGCGATGTCACATAAAAAAAATAAAAAAAATTGGTTTCGTTTGGGGGGGGGGGGGCATGGCCCCCTTTGCCCCCCCCCCCCTGGATCCGCCCTTGGACTCCCATCTCATGGTTCTAGAACGCACAAAATACTACGGACTTTAAACACATTTTTCAATTCGTAGTTTCATAATTGGCTTTGGGCGATTTCTTATAAAGCTCTTGGATTCGAACGCCGGCTAAATTTATGCCCTCCTTTTGTAAGTTTTGGTATAGTGTTCAAATATTCGTGACTCAAATTGACTCGAGCTATATATTTGACTCGACTCGATTGTTCTTGACCTAATGACTCGACTCGAGTCATAAAAATCAGTGACTCGTTACAACTCTGCTTTGAAGCTATCCAGCGGAATGAGAACCAGCGATTACAATGTTCCAAGTTTGAGTCAAGAATATTAATATGAGAACTAAATCAATTCTTTTTCTGAAGTACGAATGGTGATATTTGTTGGTTTTCCTGTGCAAGTTTTCGTTCACTCTATCTCAAAGAGTGGTCATCAAGGCGTATCGATCATGATCAGTGTTGGACAGCTGAATGCTGTGGTACTTCGATTAAAAAAGAAATAACTTGTAAATTGAGTATGCGTATTACACAGAGGTGGTAGCAAGTCATTTTTTGCAAGTCCAAGTCAAGTCACAAGTCATTGTTTGCAAGTCCAAGTCAAGTCACAAGTCATTAGGTCCAGTCACAAGTCAAGTCACAAGTCATTAGGTCCAGTCACAAGTCAAGTCACAAGTCATTAGGTCCAGTCACAAGTCAAGTAACAAGTCATATTTTGGTCTAAAAACAAGTCAAGTAACAAGTATCTTTGTCCAAGAACACGTCAAGTTGCACATTATTTTGTCCAGCTGTAATAAGCTAAAAGAACCTGGCGTGAACTTAGGAGTTATTTTGAACATGCCTCCTTAATTTCCCTTTTTCAATGTGTTGCAATTACTATTCTTGTAGTTTATCACATATCTGTCGGATATTAGCCCTTTGTATACTTTAATAAATTTACTTTACATTGTAAAAATAAATGTTGAGATGACCGTGAAAAAGACTACCTCACTCGATTACATGTAGTATACTAACACTTTATTGTTCATTTTTCATGTATACTAAACGCCTACCAATGGGTTAGGCTATCCGGTATTTTACATGCAATAGACAAAGGCCTGCTTTCTTTTTATGAAAGGTTCCTTTCAACCAATACATTAAGCAAGAGACAATTGGTCATTGAAAACTGTAGTTTGTTGTGACAGTCTTATTGAAAACTTTTGAAACTAGTGGGAACTATTCATTTTACTGGATTCAGTCACTGAGGTCTATTTTCTGGAATGAAAAAGCTAATTAAAAGTATAATAGCTTAATTAAAGTGTATTGGGTCGCTCAAGTAGCGTCTGACTTGGGTTGGTAACAAGTCATTTTTTGCAATCTCAAGTCAAGTCACAAGTCATTGTTTGCAAGTCCAAGTCAAGTCACAAGTCAAAGCTGGTATTTACAAGTCAAGTCACAAGTCGCAAACATAGCGACTCGAGTCTGACTCGAGTCCAAGTCACATGACTCGAGTCAGCAACTCTGGTATTACATGTAAATTTCACAGTATTTACCCAACATGTTCTTTATTCCTACGTTAGTTTTCTTCAAGGGAGGAGCTACCGTCATATCTTTAAAAAAAAATTCTAGCTCGGTCACTTTCTTTTTGACTCACACTGTATTTGCGTTATTTATTCTCATCACAGCAATACATTGCATATGCACAAGAAAAAAAAACAGATAAGAAATTATGCTTTTGAAATAAACAAAATAACACTCGCACAACATAAGGCCAAAAAAAAAAATACCTCGGTCTCTGGTCAGCGAGCGCGTCGATTTTAATCATGCGCGTCAACCTTTTCTTCTTCATAAAATTAACACGGAAGCTACAACAGCGCCCTCGATTGCCGCACCTCCTCAAATGTTTGTACCAAGGAGCACCAAGGAATGGGGAAATTGCACCAAGGCAAATGATAAAGGACACCAAGGCAAATTATGGAGGACACCAATGTATAATGAGGACACAAAAAGCAAAATAGGACCCACCTTGTCTGTACAATTCAAGCTTGAAAAAAAAAAAAAAAAAAAAAACTGCGTCGCCGCATCAATTCCGGAACTTCGGTCTGACCAGAGACCGATTAATTTTTTTTTTGGCCTAATACAAAAATAGATACATGGACTCGTACAGACACGCCACCCCGAGTGCTGTACGTTCATAAACGAGTGCTTTTGGGGGCAGAGAATCTCCTCACCTATTCATCACAAGATGGCGCCCTTCAACTAGGCTCAGCATCCCTATTCGCTTTAACATAGCAAAAGTTAGTCTCCTAATTAAAACATTCCAGTGCCCTTACGAACAAGACAGTCACTGACACTTCTAATCTGACCAAACACAGATTGACTTAAGTTATCATAATAAAAGCTGCTTTTTAATTCCAATAATATGAAGAGAATATGGTCCCAATTTCAATGCTTCAACCGTTGTTTTGATCCTACCATTTCACTAATTAAATTTAAATGTTTTGTTTTGTTTTAAAGGTCTCGGTTACTGGTTTGAAAAATCCCATCAACTGCTTGTATGAATTAAAGTTATAATTGAATAATACTTACATTTTGTTACAAGCAAATTAAGAGCAATATTTAAATGAAAATTGGGAATGCAAATTTGACACAGAGGAAACAGACTATTTGGCATAGAAATTCTTAAAAAAACGGCTCCAGGATTTAAAAAAAAAAATCAAGATTTTTTTAAAGAAATTGCCATCAAGAGAAGTTCCTTTGATGGTGTAAAACAACATGCTGAAAGTCGGTATCACATGACCATCACATGACCATCACATGACCTCAAATTTAAAGTTTGTCAACATGGTCTATACACATAAATCTCAGGAAAGTGACAACCCTTTTATGACGAATGAATTGAGTAGTTCTTATCAGGACTTGACTTAAAATCCCTTGGTTATTTTGTTGAGGCAGATGTGTAGACCACAGAGCACATCGTGCATCCTCCTAGATGTTGGGGCTAACTTCCTCTATGAGGGTGGAGGCCGTCTGGTAGTTCTCGTCTTCTTTTAATTCTTCCGTAGTTTCCTGGTGGAAAAATAAAACAAATGATGGGTAAGTCAATCACAAGTCAATCACAAGTCAATCGCATGTCAATCACAAGCCAATCATAAGTCATATCACACATCAATCACAAGCCAATCATAAGTCCATCACAAGCCAATCATAAGTCAAATCACATGGCAGATCACAACTTGTAACTGGAGTTGTGTTTTAACTTTGGATTTGACATGTGAATTACAAGTCAATCACAAGCCAATCACAAGCCAATCACAGTCAATTCCAAGTCAATCACAGCCAATACTTAATTAATCACAAGCCAATTATAAGTCAAATCATAAGTCAAATCACAAGTAGGGTCACAACTTGAGACTGGACTTGTGATTTAATTTTGGATTTGACATGTGAAATATGAGCGAATCGCAAGTCAATCACAAGTCAAATCACAAGTCATATCATAAGTACAGTCACAACATGTAACTGGACGTGTGATTTAACTTTGGATTTGACTTACGAATCACAAGCCAATCACAGCCAATACCGAGTCAAATCACAAGCCAATCATAAGTCAACTCATAAGTCAAATCACAAGTAAGGTCACAACTTGAGACTGGACTTGTGATTAATTTTGGATTTGACATGTGAAATATGAGTGAATCGCAAGTCAATCACAAGCCAATCATAAGTCAAATCACAAGTCAAATCATAAGTACAGTCACAACATGTAACTGGACGTGTGATTTAACTTTGGATCTGACATGTGAAATATGAGTGCATCGCAAGTCAATCACAAGCCAATCACAAGCCAACCACAGTCAATACTAAGTCAATCACAAGCCAATCATAAGTCAAATCACAAGTCAAATCATAAGAACAGTAACAACATGAAACTGGACATGTGAGTTAACTTTGGATTTGACTTACGAATCACAAGCCAATCACAGCCAATACCAAGTCAAATCACAAGCCAATCATAAGTCAAATCACAAGTCAAATCACAAGTAAGATCACAACTTGAGACTGGACTTGCGATTTAACTTTGGATTTGACTTAAGCATTCTGAGTTAGTCACCAGCCAATCACAGTCAAATCACAAGTGAATCACAAGTCAGAAGAGTTGTAATCACGTCAATCACAAGTCATCTCAAGTCATCACAAGTCCATCACAAGTCATCGCAAGTCATCACAAGTCCATCACAAGTCATCTCAAGTCATCACAAGTCATAACAAGTCATCTCAAGTCATCACAAGTCAACACAAGTCATCTCAAGTCATCACAAGTCCATCACAAGTCATCACAAGTCCATCACAAGTCATCTTAAGTCATCACAAGTCATCACAAGGCATCTCAAGTCATCTCAAGTCATCATAAGTCATCACAAGTCATCTCAAGTCATCGCAAGTCCATCACAAGTCATCTCAACCGTGACAAAGGTATTCATTTGTAATTCATCTCTTGTTACTTTTGACCTGACTTGTGATCAACTTGTGATTGACTCCGTTACAACTCTTCAAGTCAGGTCACAAGTAACAGGGATGAACACTGGCAAATGACTTTCTGTTTCACTTCATTTCAATAGCTTGTGACTGGACTTGAGTTTGCATGACATTACACGCTCAGCAGCTCCTTAAACATTTATACTTACCAGTAAATTTTTCAGTTCTGCAAAAGCCGTCTTTATCCTCCTGTTAGAATCTGGGATCATCATCTTGGATTCCTCAAGGACTTCTTGCTGTACGGGAAAGGCAATAATTGAGAAAAGACTTTCAGTATTTTAAGACGAAAAAAGCTTGTGAGGTAAAGTTGAATGCAACAGTTTATGCACCTATCAATTGTAAGATGGAACCCATGACCCCAGAAAAGGTGCACAATTGCCCAAAAGTGGATCATTTGTTTGTGGAATCTACACACAACCCCTGAGTCAGAGCTGTGGTGCATCAAATGTATATATTTTGGACACTTTTTGGCATAATTTTGACCCGCTTTCTTTACAGATTGTAAAGCACCTTCTGAAGCAAAAGTGACGCATCTATGATGCAACTTCCAAACTGTTTGACACACCAAATCATGACACGACACCCCACCCACCCCATCACAGCTGTAAAGGACGTGATGTACCAACAATGCACAATTTAGGGTGTAGGGGAGGGAGGGGGTGGGGGGGGGGGGGTGATGAGGGGTCCATCTTACAATTGACAGCTGCATTGACAACCCCACCCCAATTCCTATCATATCCTTGCAACGTGGAGGGCTGTGGTCCAATGGTTATGGTGATCGACTCATGTGCCGTTGTACTTGGGTCCAAACCCTGACGGGGAACATGGTGCTTGTGTTCTTGGGTAAGATACTTTACTACAATTACCTCTCTCCACCCAGGAGAACTATGGGTACGTGTGAAGGTAGAGACCAGATTGCGCTGATCTTGAGCTGCTGCAGAAAAATGGTCTCAATGGCCTCATGAACAGGGGTACTAATTAATTATGAAGTGCCTTAAGAAATTTGGTATAAAGCGTCACATAAGCAATAAATTATTATTATTATATCATATTTACCTGTTTCCTGATATTGTGTTCGTCTTGCTCCTCTGCTTTCATCCGTTCAACTTTGGCCGTCTGATCAGTCACCTCCTTCTCGTACATCGTCTTCTCCTTCACAAGTCTAGAAATAGAACACGGGAAATGAATGAAGAACATTAAAGCTGAGCATGCTGAACTGAGGTTTAGATCATAAGCATGAAAGTTTTAGATTTGCGTCACGTCCACCGCCCGCACCTCCCCACGGCAGCCGCACGAACATTTTATTATTTTGCAAATCTTTCATTACTTCAAAAAATACTATTCTCAATTACAAAAGACTTCAAAAAACATAATTGAGTCGCATACAAATGAGATACTAAGGCATATTTCCACATACTATGGTGTATGGCGTGCATGTTTGACGCCACACTAGGGATCAAGACCAGCAAACCCCAACTTCGCGATTGTCAATCCCATCTGCATAGCACACTACACATTTTTTTTCCCCCATCAGGTTTCCCCCATTCCATTCCACATTTACCAAGTGCTGCTTCTATAGCTTGATCTGATTGGTCCTTTGATTGTGGCACTCACTGAGTCAACCAATGGAAACTTTCATCTCAAGTTCCACATGCATTTCTGCACACATTGTTCTTGATTTTTTTTCATGATCAAATTGAGAAGGCCTATTTCCAATCGATATTTTCACCAACTATTTTACTGATTTGCCTGAAACTGTTGGATGGATCACATTAAGAACATTTCGTTGCATTCTTATCATGTTTATTTTTGTTTACGATGAACTGGAAAGGTGGAGCGATGCGTTTCAGATTTTTTTTAAGGATTGACTGGGATCCGATAGGTCTGCTTTCCATGCCGTTGTAGTGTCAGACCCGCTGTGATGATCTAGAAATTGCGCACAGCCTGCACATATCGCAATTCCCACTGAAGCCTACAGGGGTGCATAAGGCAGTTTGAAGACTGTTTTTGTGGTGAAATCTGACGATTTTGATTGGGGGTACGAGTGAAAATGGTCAAAACACGTTAATGGTAACCATATACGGCCCAAACCTAGGACTCTACTATCGCCCGACCATGTCCAAATGTTAAAAAAGCGATCCGTAGAGTCCTAGTTAAGCTAGCCCGACTGCGTCTGGCCGTACAGTACTATCGCAAGCTCTGTAGTACGACCAGACGCCCGATGCTTCCACAGAGACTGAATTTTTTTGGCCGCTGATGTAGCGATTTTGCTACAGATTTCGATCGAGATTATCTTTTCATCCAGGACACAAATTTCCAAAGTTAAGGTTCTTAGTCGTAGAGCAACTCATACCTTTTCGAAAAAACGTTCTTTGGTCTACCGCGGTCTTTGGTCTCAATATTTTCATCCATCTGGCCAAAAGACGACTTTCAGTCATCATCTTCCACAAATATCGTCCCGAAAATGCTCCCCCATGCGATTTCAAAATGGCGGCCGTGCTGTAATGTATGCATTATGCGAGCGCGCTTGGGCAAGATAATGAATATGCATCATAGTTTATGACGTTTGTCGGACACTCGGCGCGGCTGGCCATACAAACACGAGGTCATGAACTAAATAGTGTACGGCCAGACGCAGTCGGGCTATAGTTAGGCCTACTTGGACTAGGTTCTGAATACGTCCCGTCATGTTGAGAATACAATTGTTTTTATATTAATTATTATCATTTATTTTTTTAAAAACAATTTTGCGTACAACCTTAAATTAACCACCGGCGCCGCCTAAAATACGAAATTATCACGAAATAGATGCACGTACAGGTAAATGTAAAATGAAGTGTTTTTCTTTTACCTTTTTAAGACGCCGGTTTTTATCTTAATGTTGCGAATACGTGGGTCTTGTGCTGCCGCTGCCATGTTGTGACGTACAACTTCACTTGTCTGATAAATTAAAAAGAGTGATTTTTAACTTGTCTGGGCACAGTGGGCAGTCGATGATCGATCGTTGACGGAATGTTTACTTTCGTACTGCAACAAGAAGAGCGCCACCATTTGGTAAAATTTGTGTGTTGCCAACAGATGGCGCTATTTCAGAAGATGGCGACCACCATGCATGACTAAATACGCAATAGAAAGGTAAAATTGATGGAATAAAACCGGGCTATTTGTTCGACAATTTACAACCTTCCATCATTAATTTTACTGCTTATGTGTACCTCAAGTGATGTGTCTACGCAGGTGCAGATCAGGGTTGTGTGCGTTGGGAAATCTTTGTGGGAAATATAGCCCGACGGCGATGTTTGACGGGATCAACCGGCCGCAGGTCCGGCATCCGTATTGGGCGTGATCGGTCGATCTGCGCGATCGCGTTGCGCGATGGGTCGATTTTGTAGGATATCTCGGACTTCACTTACTTTAATTAAACTAATAATAGTAAAGTTTAAAAAAAGAGCCGTGAATTAGAATTAGAAAGAAAAGGTGTTCGACAACTTCTGAAATAAGAAGGCTTCTCTTTTCTGACGGAGAGAAGCCTTCTGATTTCAGAAGTAGTGTTCGACTGGATGTAGACCCGTGAACGTGGCTTGTAAACTACGCCACGCTGTTGTGTATTTCTGAACCTGGCGAAATTGTCCCTCTGACTCCCTCCATTAGACACACTGGACGTTATTTTGCAAATGTAATAAGTACTCACATATGAAGCTGTCTTGAAATCTGTTTGTACGTCAAAACTTGCATTTGACGAAATTTGAGGAAAATTCTGGCCCCGGTTTATGAAGTCCTGCTAGCTGCCATTTTCTCCCAAGTGACGCATGCGCATTGCGTTTTATTGTACCGTCCTTCGTATAATTCGACGACTGTTTACTGTCGCAGCTAAAAGAGACATCGTTTTAGACAAGTTTCAAGTCCTTTCCTCTCTCACCGCACCGCACGCGGGCGCACGTGCACCCACGTGCGTGTGCGCACACGTACACGAGATGAGCCGAGCAGCCAATCGGGTGCGGGTTTTTTTTTCAGGGTTGCGACATGAAACAGCCGTCAATCTGTCCAAGCGACGCGTCCAGGGTCATTTGTCAGGGTCACTTGTCGGGTTAAAATGAAATTTCTACATGTTCGTATGGGTCTTTACTGATGGGCAAATTTCGTCGAAATTACACAGCCTAAACAATCGGACGGGCAAATTTAGATTTATAGGTGAGTACTCAACACCCATACGGAATAATGTATGTCGGATCGATTTCGCTAGGTTCAAAATGACACAACAACGTGGCGTTGTATACAACGTCCACGTTCACGGGTCTAGACTGGATGCAGCGGGATCGACCGATAGCCTATAGCGTCATGAATCGATACCACCCAACAACTGCATTGAGGATGAAGGGCTGGTTCCTGACTGAAGCTGGCCCAACCATGCCAACCTGTACCCGGGTACCGTTTTGGTCTAAGGATTTCAACAGGCTATTACTTTTTCAGGAAAGAATGTAACCTGATGCCACTGTTTTTTTGAAAACAAATAGAACCACCATCTATGCCAAATTGATCTATTTATAGGCCTTATTTATTTGTATCTATTTATTTAGGATTTTTTTTTTGGGGGGGGGGGGAGTGTTAGAGATTGAAAGGAGGTTTAGTATTTATTTCAGGCATGTCAGGGGTACTCCAAATTCCTCTGAGGCTCTGTTATGAATGCTTTTAGTCTCCTCTTGAATGACTCATTTACTTTGAACTGTCACTAGTATAACATGAGACCGGCATATCATCCTCAAACACTAAATGTTATGTTAGCAAATTCACTTACTGGAAAATATTTGATTCCCACTTCTAGAAATTGTACTGGTTGCTGAACATCAGTAATGTGATGATCTACAAGTCTTTGCCTTTACTGCAACCGTTCACAATTTTCCCTCAGATTCTAGGCCTTTTTTATATTTAGCTTCAGCTCTCTGGTGATCGATTGAAGTCTGAAATTGTAATAGGTCTGATTCCCATCTCCTGAATACAAAGTCACAACTATGATGTAAGCATGGCACCAGACAGCAAGTGGCGGCCTTGTTGTCGTCTGGTGCTGCTCTTACATCATCATCATTGTTCTTTCCCTTTAGTTTTACTTTGACTTGTCAACTTCCTTGAGATTGACTTGATTACAAACCTATATTGCAATTTTCCCCTGTGATCAGCAGAATACCCCCTCAGGACAAAACACCAACAAGTTTTAGGCCGCTGCTGCAAGGGACGTAGCCCTTCGTCAGTGCAGCCCCTCCGACAAGCTAGTCATGGATCCCGCAGTGGTTGCCACCGTGCTGGACGCGCTGACCCGCGCAGCCAGTCAGGACACAGCCATCCTCAAACCGGCCGAACAGCAGTTGAAATCGTGGGAGACTCAGCCAGGGTTCTACTCGGTGCTGCTGACCATCTTCTCCAACCACAGCCTGGATGTCAACGTCAGGTGGCTGGCCGTGGTGTACTTCAAGAACGGCCTGGATCGCTACTGGCGGAAAACCGCATCCAAGTAAGTCACTGTAGACCTACCTAGTGCATCTGCTCATGCAGACATAGCTCTTGTCTTGGGCTTTTGTCTAGGTCTTCAGTTGTGTGGGCACATGATAACAATAGACAGAGCCCTAGCCCAAGCCTGGGAACTTCAGACCGACATAGTGCTTGGGATTTTTTTAAGGATAAGATTGAAAGGTTGTTAACCCTATTAACCCTGCAGGGTATTCTGGCTAGAAACCCTGCCAAATTAACACAGCAACATGCAACCCTTGTCAAAATGACAAGCCTGCTCAGTGTAGCAAGATCCATCAGGTCAAAAATCCTAAGGTTAAACTGCCTCAGAGTCTGTGGGCACTGAATGCAGCAGGATACAACCGTGGCATTGTTCAATGGAACTAGTGATCAAAAGCCTCTCATTGTTTCAGAATTGACCATCTACATGTATGCACTGGTATTGATGGATATAAAGTGCAGCAAGGTCACAGAGACTTGACAGCAGATGCATAGTGTTGTGTCAGGCAGGGTTGGGCTTAAGAAATGAAATGAAATTATGCTTCCCCAACTGTCTTTCCGATCTCAGTTTTTATGCGGTATTTCAGAAGACCCAAGGTCAAGGAAAGTCTAAGAGATGCACCAACTGAAATTTAAGTTTAGCAAAAATATAGTTTGGTTTATTGACAGAAGCGCACATAGTAGAGTGGACTTTCTTCCGACTTTTCTCCTGATTCTTCCTATTTGTTCCTCATTCCCAGCGCAATCCCAGAGCCAGAGAAAACCAAAATCCGAGAGCAGCTCATCATGAACTTCCGAGAGCCCGTAGGACCCATCGCTACTCAGCTCGCGGTCCTAATCAGCAAGATTGCCCGCGCCGACTGCCCCCGCAACTGGCCCGAGCTCATCCCCACGCTACTGGCCAACATACGGAGGCCGGAGCATCTCGAACAACAGAGGGCTCTGCTGACCTACCACCATGTCATCAACATGCTAGCTGGGAAGAGGCTGGGCCCGGACAGGAAGCTCTTTCAAGAGGTGGGTATTAACGGAGGCTTACTCTTTGGCGGCAATATGAGCAACAGGGTTCCCAGCCGCTCTGGAAATCGGGGAAAACCTCAATAATGAGTTTCAGGAAATTTGACAGTGACCCAGAAGGGAAGGTATTTTGCAAGTTAAAAGGGCACTAGGTCCTAAAATCCCCGAAAATTTAATGTTTTTGATTGTTTACTTATCTAATTTCAAACATCTGGTGGAAAGGAAACCAACTGAATGCCGTACCGTTCCTGAGAAAAGATGAAAAAACCCTGGTTGTTTACATCGGACACGACGGAGTACGATTAAGTTTTCCTGTCATTCTCAGTCAGTGTACAATATATACACGTTGTTTGTGTCTTTTCATCACCAGGCTCTCAAATAGGGGTGACCAATCACCAATGCACAAAATATGGTTTCTTACGCGTCCACAAAAGGCCAACACCTTACTGATGAAATCACAACAGGCACCCAAACAGCTCGACTTTTTGGGGTCGCAAAAGTGGACCCCGAAAGTCATCGTCTCATGCATATTACAGGAATAACACAAAAACGCCCAGTTTTTAAAGGATACTTGTGTGGATGTTTATATCCTAATTTTAAACGTTCTTTCTAAATAACATCATTTGGTTCAAAGCGCGTTTTACAGCCCAATTAGGCTGTTCCAGGACCCAGTGTCCCTTAAGTGTGTGTGTGTGTCTTTTGCCATTTGGCATTTTAGGGTTTATGAAATATGAACATTATTGTATCTTTGCTGCAGCCGCCTCTTGACTTCCCAGTAACTTTGGCCAAGTTCGGGCAAGGACCATTAGTCGACGAGTGGTTGATTTGTGACGTACCTTACGCCTGCGCACTGGTAGCAAAGTGCGAACGTCTCTAGTCAAATGCTGGTCAAAATGTCATCGCAAAACTTCTGGATCCTGGCTCTCTGCTAGCGTTATGAATGCACGCGACTATTAGTTACCAGCGAAGCAACCAACCCCAGTAGGCTGGTTCCAAATAGTCGACTAGCCTAGTCAACCATCGTCGACTAGACAGAGTTCGGGCAAACGTTAGTTAACCATTGGTCAGCTATAGTCCTTGCACGAACTTGGCCCTTGTTAACCCTAACTCCCTAGGTCGATTTACGGGGAACCTTCCTCATCCTTGCAAATCCCAACACCATATGGTAAGCTGTGCACATAAACAGCTGGACTCTGTTAATTTGTGATATGCCTAATTCCATGCAAAGCACAGTCAGTTTACTAGTGCAGTACTGCACCAAACCCTGCTGTTGGAGTTTGGCTGGTTGGGGATCATTAGGGTTATTAAGGGAACATCATCCAAATCCATTATTGGACTAAAAATAGGTTTGATTTTTCTTCAATGCATTTCCAGCTTACGGCCAGCACGTTTGCCTTCCTGTTTGAGCTATGGAACAGTCACTTGGAGGGATTCCTGCACCACGCTAGTCTAGATGACCATCACAACATGGCGGTCCTGCTAGAACTGAGCACTCTAGCTCTGAAAGGTTGGTCAAAAGTCCTGCTGTCAAAAAAGCCCCCAATAAACCAAAAAAACAGCCCGGATAATTAAGCCCGGTTCATACTTGGCGCGAAAGCGAACGCGAATTTGTGACGTCGTGTCAAGTATTTGTGCTGCGAATTAGTAAAAGTTGAGCACATTTTAACAATGTTTCATGACGTCAAACTCGCTTCGCATTCGCCTTCGCGTGGAGTATGAACCGGGCTTTAGGGATGCCACCATAGTGTCTGCAGGGTTCAGGGTTAATTTTTTTTTCCACTGTGTCTGAAGGGTTTGACGGGGCTGCTGAAACAGACACTTACTACTAGCCCGCAGGCATTTTATAAACTAGCCGCATGTTGTTGTTGTTTTTTTTTTTAGCTTGAACACAAAATGGGGTACTTTCAGGCTCAATTCTGAGGCAATTTTGTCAGTGTTTTTAAGAAACAGATCTAATAATTTAACCCTTTAAAACAGTTGATAAAATTAGACATGAATTAATACAGGTTTGCTTTCTGAATTTAATGATTTATTTCTTCCAGTCGTTTCATCTTTGCTGTATCCCAATAATTTTTTGACTCACCAGCTGGGCTACTTAAAGAATAGTTTGACTAGCCCGACGCTGTTTTGACTAACATTTGGCTAGCGGGCAACCTCTAATTTCGAACTCTGGTGTTTAACTTGTGTGCAATAGTATGTGAGTTTGAACCGTGACAAAAACATTGTGTTTGTGTTCTTGGGCAAGACACTTTACTACAACCTTATCCCTCCACCGAGGAGTATAAATAGCAACCTCGTTCCCATGGGTACGAGATCTTGCTGCGCCACGTTGTTTCCCATCATGGCTTGTGCGATCTCAACCCCTGGAATTGTGTAATTTAAATGTGTCAAAATATGGCACATTATAATTAGGCTGCAGTTTATCCGTGTTACGTGTTGACGCCATCTTTAAAATGTTTAAAGTTGTGATTTTGAAGAATCAATCATTTCAAACATAAGGTTTGGACGTTGCGTTATTTAGCAAAGATTTGTATTAAATGTACGTACCCCTTTCATCCCTTTACAACCGAAGATACAGGGTTTTTTTTAGCAAAAAACGAGGCTGCCATTATCCATATCGTACAGGCATCGCGAGTGTTGAATAACAAATAATTTTTGTATGTGACGTGACGCGCAAAGCACGCGAGCGCATTATGGGCGCGCCTGGCGTGCAATCTTCGCGCAGTACGCTTTGAATAGCCAGTCAGCATCATTTACGTGTACATCACGGCCAGGGGTTAGTGAAGGAACGCGCACATGCCCATGGAGTCGAGGCTGTATAAATTGGTACCTGTGACGGTAGAGACCAGAATTTGCTGATCTCGAACTGCTGCAAAGCCATGGTCTCATGGCTGATAAATTGGGGTAATAATTTGAAGCGCTCTCAGACGGTATGAAGTGCTGTATAAGGACACCGTTATTGTTGCTATATTACATAGCACTTGTTGTAGTGACTGTGGCAGATTTTAAAGTTTCTAGCTTGTAATTTTAATGAAATTGTTATTTATTTCTATTGATTGCAGTTCTACGTAAACAGATTATTTATGGTATGACAGAACCAGAGAAAAACACTGATGCAATGGTGAGTACGGCCACAGACTTTTGTAAGAATCCATGATGACATGGCCAACATGGCACCAGCTAACCCTAACCCCTAGGCCCTTTTTGCTAAGAACCATCCTCAATCCTTCAAAATCCTCCAAAATTTTGCAACTCCGCCTAAATTTTTCAAAATTGTCAGACAGTCCTGCCTCAAAATGCATTCATCGTCAATCCTCCAAAATCCTCCTCATCCCAACATTTTGCACTCGTGTTTAAATGAAGGATAACCAACGCCAAATCCCTCAAAATCATCAGACAGTCCTGCCTCAAAATGCATTCATCCTCACTCCTCCAAAATCCCCATGTGCTTCAATCGCCATTCATCCTCAATCCTCCAAAATCCTCATGTGCTTCAATCACCATTCATCCTCAATCCTCCAGAATCCTCATGTGCTTCAATCACCATTCATCCTCAATCCTCCAGAATCCTCATTTGATTCAATCACCATTCATCCTCAATCCTCTAGAATCCTCCAAAACTGCCAGGAGGATTTTGGAGGAGTGAGGTGGGTTAGGGTTAAATTAATTAATGTTGCAAGACATCTTTTTTGTAAATATTGTTCTGTTCTAGAAGAATCATTGCATTTAAAAGCACCATTTTTTTTTTAATATTCTTTTGGTTTAACAGATGCTCATACAGCTTGTGTTCCAGAGAATAAGACCAGTTTTAGAAATAAGTAAGTAGTCATGTTAATTTCTCAATAACTTCGTATTTTGGCATGCACAAATTCCTTTTTTTTATAACATTTAAATTTTACTATTCATGCATGTCTATATTGGATATTCAAGGAATGTAACAGTATCAAAAACCTAGGATGTTAATTTCAAAACACAAGATTCCAGACATTACAATGTGAAGAGACATTAAAACAAGGCAAAGTTGTAGATATCTGGATATTTCTGACCAACGTTAGCATTTCACAGGCCATCAAGGCCCACTTATAGATGTTATGCTTTAAATCTTCAATTTAGCAAACTCCTGTGAAACCTCCTAATGGATGTTGGGAGGATTTTAGGGTTAAGATGCATCAGAAATAGTGTGAATGCCTTATGAGCGGAGTTGTTGGTGATTTTTTTTCCCCAGGAGGCAAGACTCCGCCATCAAACAATCTGAGGGAAAAGATGGAGAAGAAAATCCTCCTTATGATGAAAATGGTATGCATAAAAAAATGAACCCCAAAAATATCAACTGGATTATTATTTGACCTCCATGGAGAAACAGACTGTTCATTAAGCGCTACCAAAAGGTGTTGTGACCAATTGTGCATCCAAATGTCTGACAAAAAGTCTTGAATGTTTGCACTTGCGGACGATGCGCATGATCTAATCTTGCGTTGTGGCATTCGACAGGCGCAGGTGGTGACATCCACATTGTGGGCGGGGCTTAATGGATTGGTATATATTGACTGAGTCACATTTCATGCGTAGATTTTTAGCTTGGGATAGCAGCTCTACAAGTACTCATGTCTCTCTGTGAGTCCGTAGGTTAGTTAGTTAGTAACAAACGTTGGGATGCGCACCTGTGGACTATAACTCACCTTAGCCAGCTCCTGCTTGAGGCCCTGTGGCAGTTGTATCGCCCTCAAAGGAGGGCAGACTAGACTTGCATTATCGAGGTCAAGTTTGCATTGTGATGTTCAACAAATGGGAAGTCCTTTATTTCAATGCCAGATACATGTACATGTGGGCAATTCCATGGCTACTCACGTTACATTTTTGATGTACTTTGGAGTTTCCTTGGGCTGTAATTACCTTACTGAAAAGGTTTAATAACTGTTATCCCCATGGTAGATAGAGTAGACCTAGACCTACCTAAGCACCAAAGATGACATCCAGAAAAATGTGTTATGTATGATAAACAAGACCCCCAAGTTGTTACTCACGTTATGAAAATGTAACGCGAGTAACCGATTTTGTGCATCTTGTTTATCATACACAACACATTTTTCTGGATGTCATCTTTGGTGCTTAGGTAGGTCTAGGTCTACTCTATCTACCATGGGGATAACAGTTATTAAACCTTTTCAGTAAGGTAATTACAGCCCAAGGAAACTCAAAAGTACATCAAAAATGTAACGTGAGTAACCGTGGAATTGCCCATATGCAAGAGCACCATCTATCTCGTACAGACTGGGCAGAAGATGAACATGTACGAACACAAACTCATTGGCCCCCAGCTTCTGAGATCATTTCAAGCTTGTTCTAATAATAATACTGCTCAGCCATTACTACATGTAAGCGCATAGCTCATTTTTTGGTTGAAAAATATCAATTCTGTTTGAAAATTATTTTTTTTAAGATGCCTCATCCCAAAAAGAAGGAAAAGTATTGCTGTTAAGCCCGGTTCATACTCGGCGCGAAAGCGAACGCGAATTTGTGACATCATGGCAAGTATTCGCGCTGCGAATTCGTAAAAGTTGAACATGTTTCAACTCGGGCGAATTTCGCAGCGAACGTGCGATGACGTCAAATTTGCTTCACTTTCGCATTCGCGTGAAGTATGAACCGGGCTTTATACATTGCATAATTGTATTTGCATTTTCAAAAGAGATTTTTAAAAAAATTTCTTGATGCTTTTACCCTTTACAGTTGCTAGACATACAAGACACTTTCCCTCTGTCCTACGTCGCATTCATCCCCCAGTCCCTGGAGCTGAGTGTCTCCTACGTCTTCACCGAGGCCGGCAAGGGGCTGCTCTTTGAGCGCTTCATCGTCCAGAACATGAACCTCATCAAGAGCATCGTCAAGTGTGACTACTACCGCGTGTCAAAGGTCATTGAGGAGACCAAGGAGCAGGGGGCCATTGATGCCCACAAGGTCAGAGTTCAAAAGTTCATAAGGTCATATGTTTATTCAGGATACCAAGAAGGGGGGCAGGGGGGAGCATTCAAGTGATTAATTTTTTTTGCAGCCCCATTGTTAAATTAGTTTTGTTTTTTACCTTTTTTTGTCTTGTTCAGGCAAAGAATGAGTTCTTCACAGACAGCACACTACGAGAGATGTGCCACAGGCTGCTGTCACAGTACTTCCTATTAACACAGGAGGTAAGACATCTTGGTCTAGTCCCTGGTGGTCATGATAAGAGGTTTATTACATCTCATAGGCACCAGACTACTTAAACATGGCTACAAACTGATCGTGCCATAACAGACGTGCGTTTATAAGTGAAATAGTGATTTCTGGAAGTGAAACTGGTTAGAAATGTACATGCAAGATGTATGATTTAAAGACGTTTTTAAGGTGAAATTTACTTGACATAGGGTTTCATTTTAAATTGAAAAAAAAATCCCAAATTTTTGTTGAATACTTAATGTTAAAATGTTAAGTAATTTTCTTATGATTTCGTACCAAATTTCTTGATAGGATTTAGAAATGTGGGAGAATGATCCCGAGGGCTTTACCATTGATGAAGGAGGGGAGTCCTGGAAATTCACATTGAGGGTGAGTCGAAGTGCGAGACAGTTCGGTCAAGTAGCAGAATAGTCATGGAATTGTTGATTTGTGAGGTGTTCTGGCGATATGAGACAGAACTGGACACAGGCCGTACTGGAGAAAAATGCAAAAAAACTGAATCTTGTTGCTAATAATACACACTGCATTGGCCTTTATTTTCAGTGTAATACTGGCCAGTATATTGTAGATAGGTCACTAAGACGCCAAAACAGCATAGGAATCGATGTTATTCAAGTGCGATTGGCGTGTGAGGACCTGGGCCCAATTTCACGGCGCTGCTAAGCACCAACATTTGCTTAGCACAAAAAAAGTCTGGCTTATAAAAGCAGGTTACCAGCCAAAACTCCATGTGATTTTCATGCTAAGCAAACAACAGCTGGATACTAATCACAAGCAATATACATCACGTGGAACTTTGGCTGGTAACCTGCATTTATAAGCCAGACTTTTTTTGTGCTTAGTAAATTTTTGTGCTTAGCAGTGCCGTGAAATTGGCCCCTGAACACAACTGTTATCACAACTCTCTGCATGTTATTTTCCTCCATCTAGCCGTGTACTGAGGTCTTATTCCTGGCCATGTTCCACGCGTACCGGGACGTCTTCACTAGTGTGCTTCTACAGATGGTACAAAGTGTTCAAGGTACGGGAGATATAAATCTAGCATATAGCTGTGCCCCATACAATCACATGCAAATTACCTCTCCCTAAATGCCTGAACTATAAATGGTTGATTAAGATTTTGTTAAGTTTTATTTCCTTGACTATACTCCAACTGAACCAGTAGTAGAATACAACCCAACTTGTAGAATATATCCATTATCTTTGCAGGTATCGTGGAGCCAACCAACATGGAGATGATGCTGCAGAAAGAAGCAGGTAAACCAGCTCTTGAGAGTCTATGGACAAAACAATTTGATTAGTAATCACTGAGCCCTTGAGCTTATTAGGCTAATGTGCATTGTTTAACAAAGGGTCTTTTGTCATGCTAATATCACTGCCATCCGTCGGCAGAATACGCCAAACCCCACCCCCTTCATATTGGTTCATATTTAGTGTATGGGGTAATTTAGGCTGAAAGCGCTGAAATTTTAAGTTTTAGCGCTGTCGGACAAACGGTTTCTTCTCGAGGTCACATGATCCACAAGGTCAAATGGAAGGTCAAAGTAAAGGTCATCATACTTCAAATTACTCAGACATGAAAAATAATGGTAAATTTGGATTCCTTATGATGTTATAAGATGGAATTTTGCGTCGGGGTGATATAAATCAAATTAGGGTTTGCCCTTCACCGACGTTTAAAGCAGGTGGTTGTGGGTTCGAGTCCCACCCGAGTGATTTTTTCCAACTTTCACTCGGGAGGTAACGCACTGAGTATACAGTGTTTAAACGTCAGTGAAGGGCAAAATCTAATTTGTTTATGATGTTACCTTTCCAAAGAAACCAAGATCAACAACTTGGGCCCAAGGGCGCTAAAACGTCAGCTTTTTCAGCCAAAATTACCCCATACACTGAATTTGTCCCAATTTGAAGGGGATGGGGTTTAACCCATGGGGTGATTTGACACGGAATGACCCTACTACACTTTGAAACTTAACCCCCCAAAAAACTTAAGTGACCAAACCAACAAAATGAGTCACCAGTCACTTTTGAGAAATTCAACTATTTTGTAGTAGATGAAGATTATGCACACTTATTAATGAGATTTCAAAAGAGACAATTATTTAGCAGAGATGTTTCATCTCAACTGAATCTGGTTCAAGGGAAAAAAGACTGGCCAGTCCTCAGCAATGGCAGAATTCTACAGGCAGTTTCCAGACTTTTACTGAAGCTTTTTGATTTTTTGTTCGTTTATTATCTGTGTTGTTTCCAGTGTACAATGCAATGGGGCTGGCAGCATTTGAGCTATTTGATGAGGTTGATTTTGATCAGTGGTTCACTAACCACCTACTGGGGGAACTTGGTGATAAAAATCCAAGGTGAGTCAGTGATATTTTTTTTTCATTGGATAGTTTTCAAAAATTGAATTCTTTAACCCTCCTGCTATTTAAGCGGTCACAAACAGTCAAAATTCACTTCCACTTCCCCTGCAATACTTTTAACAAAGGCCAGTCACCAGCAGTCAGATCATATGTCAAACAAGCACTGTGACTAGTCAAACTGGGTCAACAGACAAAGCAGGCAAGTTGTGGTCACAGCTGTTTTATCATTCACCCGGAGATCAGTCAATTGACTGAACGTTGGAAATCTCCTACAGTTCTTGATTTCTTGTAAATGACAGCATGCCGGATGGAACAAATTTCATGGGGTGCTTAGTACCAGTACGATCTTTAATCCAAGTTAGCTTTTTGATAATAATTGAGTAGGCTACTTTTATGATAAAATGCGAAATGTTTCTATGCACCTTTAATGGCAACTCTGCTTCATGGCGCTCTTCCATTGACAGATACAAGATCATCAGAAGGCGTGTCATCTGGCTAATAGGCCAGTGGCTGGGGGTTAAGCTCGCCCCCAGTCTGCACCCTACCGTCTACCAGGCTGTCTTACCCCTACTGGCTGAGGACGAAGACCTGGTGGTCAGGATAACAGCCGCTCAGACGCTCAAGATTGATATCCTTATCAAAAAAAAAAAAAAGAATTTGGGACAATGAATAATTAGACAAATTGAGTTTAATTCCATGAAGTTGCTGAATACAGTCACTTTCTAAGCATTGAAATTTTTTGCTTAGCCGATACACCCTAGAGCACACCCATGTTTACGTTACATACGTAGTGTGGGCATTCCTTTGTTTTCGTGTAGTTAAAGAAAAACCTGTGAAAAAAATCATTTTACTCACACTGTGAAAACTCTTTCTATGATTCCCTTTAGTGTTTCTCTTCATTTTGCCACGGTTAAACTTAACCCCAAAATGCCTCTAAACCTGTTTTCCAGAGAGGGGGAAACATTGTGTGGACGTGGGCAAGTCCACACAACGTCGCTGCTACCTGGTTTATGTGGACATCTTTTGTTCGGAAGTCCACACAGTGAATGTAATGCTTGTACACAGTCACAACTAACTGGGGTCTTTCAAGTTTTGGGCTTGAGTCTGTGTCAAGTTAATGGTCTCCGCTTATCCAAAAGTTTGTCCGTATTTGTAACAATTTTTGTTTTGTTAAGCTTATTTGTCAGTGCACTTTTCCTTGAAATAAAAAAACAAATCAAAAGTTGATAATAGTCATAATGAATCAATTGTTCCTTAATTCTTTTCCACCTGTTGATGATTTTGAGTTCAAGAAGGACAACTTTCTACCGGTGAGTTTACACATGTTTTCCCTCAATGTTGAACTTCTGTGTTTGCCCAATGTTCAACTCCAGTGTTAAGAATTAAGATGTCCACAGAATGGATGTTATTACATAGGATGGATTGAAAACCAACTCGGTCTATTTCTTCTTTTTCTGTTTTGCTGTTTGCAGTATCTGGAGTCCAGCTTTGCTCTTCTCTTCCAATTATTAAAACAGGTGTCGGAGTGTGACACAAAGGTTGGTATCTAATTTTATCAGCTTTAGGGCTGTCCCGAAAATATCAAATATTTGAATATTCGATCATCAAGTGAATGTTTAAGTAGTTTTTTGCCGGTTCGAATATTCGAAGATAAAAACTACGCACAAACAGGTGACTGTGATGTTATTTTAATACTGAATATATACATCAGCCATTCAATTTCTTTAAAACTATGTCGATGTACGCATGGTAATCTGGATACTACAACAGGCGCATGAATATGTCAATCAGCGGCCCAGAATATCGATCGCCGCATGCACATTTTAACCGGTGCGCTTTGCATGCTTTTGACCCGTGCAGCATGCAGTTGCAACTGGCATGTGTAAATGTTTCGAATATTTGGTCAAACGCAGTTTCAAATAAACGAATACTAAATTATTTAAAAATGAACAGCCCTAATCAACCATAAGTTCAGTTGTGTACCAACTGTCCAAAAATAAATTTGAAAAAATCATCTGAGCTTTTTTTGATGTAGAGCAGACAATTACACATACACCTTTTGAAGTGGCTCTTCTCATAGAAACGGCTGTTTTCTGTCTTAGGAAGTTATCTTTTCATAAGTTGTCAAAGCCAGCGTAACATACATATTGATATGTTCTTTTTTGCAGATGCACATCTTACATGTCTTGTCTTTCATCATTGAAAGAGTGGAAGCCCAGGTAAGACTTGAGTTTCATCCTAATCTTTGTTTACATTCTGTCACCACAAATCATTTAAAAATAAGACATATAAAACAAATATTTAAGTTGCATTAAGGTCGCGTCTGAATTGGCCATTGTTCCGGCTGCGGTTATTTACTGTTGTGTGCTAGTGGGAAACAGATGTTGTCACTAATACCCGATTTGGGAACAGCCTATTTAAGTGTCTTGTCATTTGTCTTCAACTGTGATCTTTATTCACTTCATATCAGTAGCATGTATCCAAATTAAAAATCTGACTTTATGATGTAACAGTTAAATTGCCTTTCTTATACTGTTTGTTTGTCTATTGTAATTGGGAATGTTTAAAGCCACGTATGAACATCTTCAATTACCCGAAGAATTACCTAAGGATTTGAGAACAGAAACCTTGCTCAAAGTGAAGACAGGACCGGTGTCAAATACCCTGTGAAATTGTTCCACCGAAACTGGTATTATTTTGAAGAAAATTAACGAGCATTGAAGATGGTTTCAAAGTGGGTGCCCGCAGACATATTTTTCATGTGCATTAGCAACGGAATCTATGTTTTTTCTGTTTTCTCCAAACTGTTCCACTGAGTTCAAACTTTAACAAGTTGGTTGTTATGCATTCTGAGCAATTTTGTTGCTTCAAACGTAAAAAATGCATAAAAGCAAATGAATCTTCGTACCTTTAATTTTTCTCTCAAAATTAAGAAAAGTGGTGTAGAGTTTATGAAAGATTGGGCTGTCACATATTTATTCCCTGAATTCCTGCACATGACAGGTTTTACAAACAATAAAAATGGTCAATTTTCTGAGGTACTCATGACTAGAACTGACGTCAGCCTTTAGAAAAACTGAAAACTACGATGATTTATACAAATTCCAGATCAGGCCGTATGCATCCAGTTTGGCCCAGTACCTGCCCCTGTTGTGGGAGGAGTCATCAGAGCACAACATGCTGAGGTGTGCGATACTCTCCACATTGGTGCACCTTGTCCAGGTGAGAACAACTATAATTTATTACATAATCAATTGTATTGAAACAATGTTTTGGGCTTCTTTTTTTTTTGGTTACGGCTGTGGCTTGTGATAGTGGGAAGCCTATGGGCTGTAGCCATAGCCGTATAACAAAAAACCTGACTTATTTTGGCATGACCTAAAACCAAATCCTGTTCCTCCAACAAGAAAGTGCTTTTAACTGTTAAAGGATTTTTCCTGATTTTTCCTGATTTCAGGATTTTTATAGAATCCGTTTTGAAATCTGGAATTCCCTGAGTTATCACCATTATAAGGTTTCTTTCTGCAAAAAGTTTATATCAAACAAAGGAAATTGGTATTTTAGGGGTTCCTAAAATTGACCCTACGTTGCTCTGGGGCCTTTAGTGACCCTGGAACCCTTGGCCAATTATTTTGTGGATTTTTCCTCTTCACCTAATCTCACCCCTGGTGAGAATGATACTCTTCTCCATTTCATGCATATTATTGTACTGTGAGTTGTGATACAATTTGAGTTTTTAAGGACTTCTCAACGTGTGCAATTTGACATTGTTAGATGTTGACATTTATATAAGAGTTTAGGCTTTGCATGGTGGAGTATCGATATAGTTTCAGTTTGCGGTAACACCATGTGGTAATAACTACTGTCGCTTAGTAGATTTAGTTCTGATAAGAACAGTCTCCTGACGATGACTAGAGCAGGCTAGTCGAAACGTTGAGACCAAACTTATCTCCCTCAGCCTTAGTGACGATAATTGCGAGAAGTCCCACCGCCTTCCAATGTACTTAGCGAAAGTAGATAACAAGACAAGTTCTTTTCAGAACTAAGCAGAACTGTTCTTATCAGAACTAAATCTACTAAGCGACAGTACTTATTACCACATGGTGTTACCGCAAACTGAAACTATATTGACATTTATACTTTTCATCTCTTTCTGTTGGAACACTCAGTTTTACTAAGGGAATAAATATATGCTTGGCTCGGGGGAGCGGGGGTGGACTGACTTTAAGACCATCACTGACTGCAATGACTATCTCTCCACAGGGCCTGGGTACGTTGAGCGTTCAGCTCTACCCCTTCCTTCTTCCCATCATTCAGTTCAGCACTGACGTCTCCCAGCCCCCTCATGTCTATCTCCTGGATGATGGTATCGATCTCTGGTAGGTTCTCCAAACATATGTAGGCATGAATTGTAAAAAGGTTTGAAAAAAATCATCACCACTCTCTCCCGTCCGCTATAAAGCAGAAACGGTGTATGCGTTTATGTTCACGAGTTAGGCTGTGAAGTGGGTGATCCCCACGAAGTGGGCGACACGCCCACAAAGCTGTTGATGTGGACGACAGGCAGCAAAGCCGGACGAGACCTCGTTAGATATATATTTTGTCTACATGCGACTATTGGAAGTGGCTGAATCCCATAGACAGGTGTGTTACTGCAAAGTAATTGGGACACGGCCTTACAAACCTCTGAAGGGTTTCAGTTGAAGTGGTGACTTTTATTTTTGCCACAGGTACGAAACCATCCAGAACGCGCCCACGATGACCAAAGAACTCTTGCAGCTGTTTGGCAACATGCCAGCACTACTAGGTAAACCAGCTGCCATTGTAGAAGTCCTTTTTTAACCTAGACAAAGTTATTTGTTTCAAGAATAAGTGTTGTCACAATGCAAAAAATGGCTTTTTCGAAACAGATTTTGCTTTAATTTGTAATGTATTTCAGGAGGAACCCAGTGGGGGATCTTTGGATGTTGGGAGGGGGTGTTAAGGCTGTCTAATACCCCTTCCCCCCCCCCTCCCCCCCGCCACAAAAAAAGTAGGAAAATCAGACAAAGTAGCATATGTCTGCGAAACGCCCCTTCCCAGACAGCTAAACCCTTCCTTTGAGCCACAGTTTAGATTCGTCCATGGAACCGTTTATTAAAGAAACCCTACATTTATTCAAGTTAAAGACTTTGTGAGATAGCACTCAGTTGAGTCAAACAAATCATTCGAAATTAATGTTTGATTTTCTGTGAAGAAATATGGATAACAAAAGCATTATGAAAAATGTTGGATTTTTTTTCTGTAGAACTGGGATCGGAAAATCTCAAGACGTGTTTCCAGATCATTACAGCATATGTACTTTTAGGACCGAATGAGTTTATGCAGGTGAGATCTGAATTGAAGCCTCAGTTACTATTTCAGATGTCGACCCAACATTTTTCGTTCTGACTTTCAGTGTTTTGCAAATTTGTGATCCTAAGAATGTCTATTTTGTAAAGGTTTCAGACCACAACTTGGCCCCCAACGCTAATTTTGGATGATTTGTAGAGGTTTGTCTGTTCAAGAAATGCACAAATTCATCCCTTTATAACTAGTCTTGGTTTTAAGACGTCCTTAGCGGTGCAATGTTTCAGCGCGCTTGGGTTATTGGGCTTAGCAGCAGTTCACCAAAGCTGGCGCGCTTTATGCAAACGTCAGCAAGCCGCAAAGGACGTCTTGGGAATCGTCTTGGGAATTGACCGGTCAGCGCCTAGTGCTATCCAATGCACGTGTACATGTACGTTACGTCACCTGACCAACGGTTCTCAAAACAGCTCGTTTATTTCAACCATTGTGCATGCGCTGTTAATTTGCATATTAAGTCCCGTCCTTTTGCAATGCGAAATTCCCAAGACGATCTTTGTGTGTGGTTCGTCGACCGAGTCAGATTCGTAAATGGGAATATGCATGCTGCTGCGCACGGTACAAAGGCTGTACAGTCTATCGCGAACCACCCCGCTAAGAACGTTTTGCACCAAGACTACATTATAACAAACAGATACTCGGTTTTTGCCTTTGTAATATCACAAGCTTTAAATGGGCATAAAAGTTGCAACGAAAAGTCTGCTTTCAAATTTGATTTTCATTGTAATGGGATCTTCATCTTCAATGGGAAGAACCTATATTTAAACAATATAGAAACACAAAACAGTGACAGAAGGTCGTGGGTTCCAATCCTATAAGGGTTATCTGGAGAGATTAGTTTTGTAATTACCTCACAGCTCCAAATAGTACCAAATCTTATGATTTGAATGAATGATTTGGTGCATTTTCTATAGAGTTACTCGGGGGCTGTCTTCGCAGGTTGCGTCAGCCTCCTAGACAACGTCAGACCAGAGGGAATTGTCATCGTAATGAAGGTAAAGAATCAGATATTATCACATGTACTTTGAGAGCTGTGCCTAGAATCCTTGAATTAAAGGTAGAGCATCTTATTTGTCATTTGTGCATTTTTTTTTTCATTTGAAGCAACAAAAGCGCTCAAAATCTAAAGACGGGTGCTTAACAACTAACCTGATGAAGATTTAGCTCAGCGAATGCTGTATATTCCGTGAAAACAATATTCTAGGATCTCAATTTCAATTCAAAAGTTGCCGTGTCATGTTTAGAATTGCACCCGAAATCGGCATTCGGGACACGTTCTCATTCAGCCGATTGCAGCTATGCGATGTCACGCACTGAACTGGCGAATTATAGCAACCGTGCACGCATGTGTGTCGTGTCAATGCTTGTACACACCCATTCACGGCTTCGCCAAATTAAAAATGAACGACTAACTGAAATTTCCAAAGATGCGTCACTTGATGCATCGTTGGAAAAGGCCTTCTTGTATTGTTTTCTTCAAAATGACAGCATGCCAAAAAACATTTTACAGGGAGTTTAGTGCCATTACCATCTTTAAACCAAGTATGTCTTTCAACAATAATTTCATCAGTTACTTTTTTGATAGCTGCAAATGATCTACTCTACCTTTACATATTTACAAAATAAATATCATCTTTTGTTCGCATTCCTATTCGCATGAAATATGAACGATCCTTAAGACTGTAAGCAAGCTGTATTCTCTATTTCCTTGTGTGCATTTTTGATTTAGGTTTCTATTTGTCCATACATGTCTATTTCTCTGATTATGATTCTCAGCTGGTGGAGACAATATTCAAGATGTTTCCCGTCGAGGGCCCACAGATATTTAGGCAAGTACTTCAGAAGGTGTTTCAGAGAATACTAGACAAAGAGGTACGTTGACTTTTTCTTTATGAATGAAAAATGCCACTCAAAGGAGGGTTACACGAAGAAGTAAAAGAGAAAGTGAGCTCAGAAAATTTACTTTGTAGAAAGAGAGCCATTATGTTGCACTGTAAGAGGAGCGCATTGTGAGTAAAGGGAAAAAGTATGAAACTGTAACAACAAATCTCAAGGACCTCACTCAAATCAAGTGAAATGACACGTTCAGTGTTTCTGTTTTAAACCTTTTTTTGCTCATGTTTGACAGGACAATATTTGCTTGAACAGAATCCCAACAAAAATTGTATTCAATGTTCAATGTTTTGATGTGTTTACTGCTGATTAAAAAAGCAATCAAATTTTCTAAGCAATATCTGTAGCTCAGCAGCTCTGTACAAACAATCAGGCTGAAAAGTCAAACAAGTCAAACATATTAATAAATACATAAATAAACATGATAACCCTGATAGAGAAAAAGAAAATGCTGATGGCAGGTAATAGGAGGAAACAAAATTGGTTGACTGAATCCAGCATGTTCTTCAAAACCCAAACTGGTCTGATGATTACCACAGTTGATTCTTGTGACTTTGCTTTGTTTCTTGTCAGGAGTACCCTACAGTGATGTCCATGTACCTGTCGGTCATCGCTAGAATCATCCTCAAGAATCAGTCCTTCTTTTTCTCCTTCCTACAGCAATATAGTCACTTAACCAATGAGCAGGTAGGCAGAGTAAAACCAGAAACCTAACCTCATATTATCCTGCCATACTTAAAGGGAAATTACAACATTTGCAAGCATCGAAAAATAAAACTACCAAGTTTTTACGAAATACCTTACAGGATGTTGGTAAATGACAGTCTAAAGCATCCTGTAAAATTATGGCACCTGGTGTGAAGTCATTTTCAAGTAAATGGTATTTTTGTATACATTTCCAACGGTGGTTGTTTCCAACGGTGGAACAATTGTTCCAACGGTGGTCGGCCGACCACCGTTGGAGAAACCTAACTATTTTTCAACTACTGCTCAAAATTTATCATTTTTTCTTCAGTCCAAATTTTGTTTCCTATTGGTTGCATGTTCATGAATGGGGGCAGGCCAGCTAGACTGGTTCCCTTACCGTACAATTTTCTGGCATCTATAAATTGATCCATTTAATTTTCAGTGGAGTCAGGGAACCAGACTACTTGAACATTTTTGTTTTTCTTGGTTTTTCCAGCATTTCCGAACACAAAACTTCAAACATGTCAGTGCAACAATAATTTGATCTATTATATTAACCCCTCAAATTGTTCATTTCTGAAAATGAAAGCAAAAGCCAATGATGTACATTCCCTTTAAAGGTAACCTTTCTCTGCTTTAGTTCTGAGGACTTTACATGTTGAGTAAAGAGTGGCTGGGTCGTACCCGTCTCAATCCTTAAAAATCCTGCAAATCATCTGAGTGGATTTTGAAGGATTTGCAAGATTAAGGTGAAAGCGAGTTACAGCATTACTAGTACTGTAGCACCTTCAAAAGTTACAGAATACAGCGAAATTAGTGTTACACTTTGGCAAAATTTTGCTAGGATCAAAATTTTAGGCCGTCTAATTTTGTTAGATGCTGTAAAATAACTATTTCAACATGGTTTCAGTTGACTACCACAGTTTGTCCTATCAGAGTCAGCCTACAATTCTGTTTTTCTTCAAACCTGAATGTTTTGAAAAATGGCAAGATCTAGCAACAGTACTTTTCTGAGCAGTTGCAACTATAATCAATCATTATGGATGCCGTGTTTGTTTACCCCATCTTCATCCCCTCACCTTTCTAGCCGGATGAGATTTTGAGCAAACTTCTGGTGGTCTGGTCAGAGAAGATGGACTGGATTACTCAGGCTGAACGGCGGAAGCTGAGCGCTCTGGCTCTCATGGCGTTACTACCCTCAAACTCAAGGTCAGTATCAGTCGAGAGTGTCTTCAAAGCTGTGTGTTCAACACATTTTGACATTAACCCTAACTCTCCAGGGTCTCTGTCTAGAAACCCTGCCCAGTGCAGTTACAGGCAAGTTGTCGATGTAAGAAACATTATAAATAATGTTTACATCTAAGGCGAGGCGTCATAAATAAATTAACCGTTCCAACGCGTGCGCCACTAGGAACGGGGCCTTTTGTTACATCTACCTCCCGTTCGCACGCGTGCTCACGGCATCCCGTTCCGAACGCGTTCTTATACAACAAAAGGCCAGTCACGGTCTGTGCACACACGAAGAGCTCATCGGCACAAAAAGTATCCGACAAATTTTCTCGTCGCTACAGGCTAGCCCGTACAGTACAGGGGGGACGTATAAAAATACGGGCACCTTGAACGGGGAAAGCAGTCCTTTGCAAACTTTACTATCAGTATGTAAAAACCTTGAATATTCGATTTATAATTCGCTGATCGTGTGTACAAGGCCAGTTTATAACATCAGTCAGCAAACTTCTTACAATGTTTAAACTTGTTTTTGTGAACATTATATGCAGTACCGTACCTGCTAATTTACATTTCCGTGCTTGTACCCAAAAAAAGAAAGAATACTCGCACTTCGGTTTACATAAAATAAGTGTTTAAACGTCTCAATTATTTTTTGGGTTGGATACGATCTAGTGTAGTATGTCTGGTTTTCTCAATTTTTATTTTAAAACGACTTTATCTTCTTCGTCTGTTTTCATTTCTGGTTTCGCATCTTTGTTGTGCTGCTCCCGTTCTCGCACGCAAAGGAACGGTTGATTAACATAACAATACCCCCTCAGTGAAGCTTGCCCAAGCACGATCTACGGAACGCGTTCTAAAAGCCGTTCGGCACGGGAAGGAACGGGGGCCGTTCAGAACGGGAAGGAACGCGTGCGCACGCGTGCGAACGGTTAATTTATTTATGATGCCTCGCCTAAATAAACATTACATCTTTCTGCAAGTTTTCAACACATGCGGGAAAAATGAACTTGGATGATACATTATCCTGTTGCACTATCTGTTTTTATTTAATGGCTCTGGCCAAAATGTGGGCTTTAGAAAGGGTGATTCAGGCATTATAAGATGCATCGTTACAAAAGGCAGTTAAGCCTCTATATCCAAGATCTCACCATGGATCATTCTCATCTTTTCTGGTGTCAGGGTCGTCACAGAGAAATTTCCCGATGTTATCTATGCCGTGGTGGAAGTCCTTCACGATGTGTGCAGAGAAGAAAATGGCTCTCAAGTAGAGTAAGAAAACTCTTTCATTTGTTTTCTTTTCAAATTTTGAAGTAGAACTTTTTAAACTTCATTTACAACTTTTTAAAATATTTCTTTTGGTTAATTCTAATCATTATTGAGATTAAGTATGCTTTATTATTAGTTATCCCGCGAGTGTGAGTGGAACACAGAGATATGTAGTGCGTCTGTGTCCCACAGGCCGAGTGGTATGTTGGACACAGACGCACTACATTTTCCGTGTTCCACGAGCGCGAGCGTGATAACGAATTTATCTTCAAGTAAACTTGACGCACAGTAAAGATGGAACACGCACGCTGTACACAAACTTTTCAGCGGTTATCCTATTGCACATGCGTGTTGTATGGAAAGGTGCACACATCTTAGAATAGAGCAATACGTGAAGTTCGGTATGGAACATGGCCATGCTACATGGTTATATGTAGCACGGCTTGTTGCCATGGATCAACCAATCAGGATCGAGTATTCAAGTTTACTCAAAGATAAATTGATATATATACATATTGCAATATTTTGTGAGCTGGAAAAGATTTCATGTGTCAGTTTGCTTGTCAAGTTAGAATCATCAAATTGCTATATTTTGGTTTAACAAAAATGAGAGGATTTGACCAGAACAAGGGAGTTAAGATGCTGTAGATTGTTAAGGAAAGCATTTCTGATATTTCTGGAACCTTGGACTTCTGATTTGGCTTGATAACCGTGCATAGAGTGAGATTGATGAAACAGTGTGCCTAGAAAGGAACCCTAGAATTCCAATTGAAAGGTTTTGTTTTGTTAATTTTCTGTTTGTTTGTTTGTTTCTTAATTTGCTGATTAGTTACCTAGTAATGGGGGACAGAGAGGATCTAGAAGATGAATATGAGACTGAAAACGACAAACGAAAAAGGAGGGTGAGTAATCGAAACAAACACTTCACTTGTAAAGTTTTATAGTCTTACCTGTTTCTTCAGAAAGAAAGCAAGGAGTTCTCAAAATTTCGAGTGTGGCTGAAAAGTCTCTGGCAACTTGTGGGCTGAAGATGATTGGTGTGTAAGCTGATGTTGAAATAAGATCCCCGAAACTGCTCAGACTTCAAAATATCTGGTTCTATATCCAACTGCAATTTCACACCATGGGAATAGGGGTGTGCATCGGAACCAGGTACCCGGGTACCCGACCGCTGTTGTCAGGAACCGGTTCCACATTATGGAATCGGGTAGCCGTAACCAACTTGACAAATTACTTATTAACTTTTCAGACTGTGAAAAAGAAGGGTTTTGAATGCCATTTGTGGGGAAATTTCAAAATGAAAACCAGGCTCTATGGAAAACCAAAACAGATTTCATGTTTATGTGCATTTAACTTGCAAATACTTTCCCTACGTCGTGGTTCACTTTGGATGATTAAAGGAAGATTCCTAGCTAAAATGTCTTGAGAGTTTTTGGTTTAAAATAGAATTATTGCATTGGTACGAGCACCAGAAGTACAGTCCAGAGGTACTGGGTTCACATCTTGGTCCAACTAATCAAGAGTTCTCTTCCACTCAATTTATACATTTGGGTTGTTGTTATTGTTGTTGTTCTTGACAGCTATCACTGAAGGATCCAGTGCACTGCACGTCACTGAGGGACTATGTCATATTGCAGTTCACCGAGTTTGAGCGCGTTCACGGCACCTCCACCTTCACCAAACTTATGGAATCCATCGACCTGGAGGTCCGGCAACAGCTGGAGAGATTCTTCAAGTAAATCGGCAGACAATTCAGTACGTGTGTGATTGATCGTGGACCGGATATGTTTTTTTTTAATCCAAACATTAAACATGGAGGACCAGATCAGACTGTAAAGGATTGTTAAATGAGTGATTGGATTTGATCCGAGTTACACTACCAAGGATGTTGTTTATCGGAGCGCCAGTAAGTGTCGATCTTCAACAGGGTCTACAAGTGTTTCTTGTCAGCTAGAGGAATCGTAACTGTGGATCGCCGAGTGATAAACTCTGCGGTTTGTAATTGCACTTTTATTCTCTGGCCAGTGTTTTTGACCAACGTTCAGTGGTCAACTTTGTGAGAAATGAATCAAGAGATGGAGAGATGGCACCAGGGATGTTGGAAATTCTAGTGGAACACCAGAAGAATTGTGGTCTAGAATCATGCTGTCGCTGTGCCTGTCCAGCTGAGGGACTGTACAGTAGGGCTGTGCTGAAAATATCGGATTTTCGAATATATGGTCATCAACCGTATATAGGAATAATGTTATTTTGATCCAAAATAGTTGAGAAACTTGAGCAGTCTCTAGGAGATGATGAAAACCTGTCGGTTGTGTGGTTTCATTATTTGTCGAATGCGGCACTTTTGTTGAATGCCACTTTCATGCATAATTTGAGAGCTTCCATGCGGATTACTAGCTCAAATTTCGTCAAAATATCAGCCATTCTGCTTCTTGTTGTTGATATTGTTTTAACAAGCGCCAGCTCTTCCTCAAGTTAACACGAGTGTAGGTGCACACAAATCTCGATCGGCGGCCAGTTTTGGCTGGTGCATGTGTTTAACTTGATCAGTGCGTTTTCGAAATTGAATACATGTATTCGAATATTCGATCAAGTCCAAGTTATACACAATTTTGTATACTAAATAATTTGTGAATGCGCAGCCCTACTGTACAATCTATCAGCCTTGCATGCATTGGTGTAAGTACACCGGATGACATAGCCTGGCACTCACACAAAGACCCTGTATGTGCGCATCCAGAATGAAGGTCGTCGTGTGCACTTTGTGTTGTTCACACATGAATCAGTGTGCAAGCACTACATGCACCCCGAGGACCGACAGACGAAGGAAGAACAACAGATTCTTTGTTGTCCTCCAGAGTTCATCTTTTGTTGAAAACAGTCCTCGATTGTGTGTTTGTGTGCTTAGTCTATTGGAAAGTGTTATATTACATGGACAAAGGGAAACACAATGCCTTGTCTTGGAGGGTAATGTAGTACGTGAACTATATACACCTCGAGGACAGACAGACAAATGGAGAATAACAGATTCTTTGTTGTCCTCGAGAGTTCATCTTTTGTTGAAATCGGTCCTCGGTCGTGCGTTTGTGTGCTTAGTCTATGGGAGAGTGTTATATTACAGGGACAAAGGAAAAGACAAAGCATTGTCCTCGAGAGTATAGTAAAACACGACTGTGTGTTCATGACTGTGAGTGCATACACATTATGTGTCCCACATGTGGAGCTACCAGTGGCCATGAAGAGCCACACTGCTCATGCACAGACTCAATGTAGTAAAGGAAGATCGTCACGGCAACCAGTGAGATCTAAGAGCAATTTCAGGCGAGGACCATTAGTCGACTAGCTGTTGATTGGTCATGTAATGTACGCCTGCGCTCTAAAAGTCAAACGATGGTCAAAATGCCACCACAAAACTTCTTGGTCCTGGTTTCCTGCTGTGCATTATGATGGGCGTTGCTACAACATGGCTCTGGTTCCAAAACAGTCCACTAGAGTAGCCCAACCATCCTGCGTTTGAGTGGAGTTAGTCCGTCTCCAGTCTAGCTGCACAGCGCCCTCAATGTTCCTTTAAAGCCAGTCATTGCTTGTCAAACAGTATTCAGTCTACTGCTTGGGATGTGTGCATTTCTCCAACATCTTAAAAGTTAAATCTTTTTTCCTTTTTTTCTGGAGGGGTGGGGGATACAGACAATAGTAAAAGTGCCTGGGTAATATGGTGCTATGTGTAATAATGTGAAGGCACACTCGCATGTAAAAAAAAAAAGATGCACACTTTTAAATATGTAACAATAATTAAAGACTGTTGTCTCATCATGTATTTAGCAACCAGCAATTGAGTTTTCCATGGGAGTAGCTACAGCACGAAAGTTTAATTGCTGTATTGCATTTTTTTTTTTTTAAATATAATTTATAATTATTTTAGTATTTTCCAGTTGGATGCGTGTATAAACTCATTATTCATTGAGGTTCGTAGGGGAAGTACAGCAACTTATACTGAAGACGGAACTGACCCAACTTAACACCACAAAAAAAAAATCACAGTTATTGGAGGGGTCATAATTTTGAATCTGATCGTCGTATGATAACCTCATTTATATAGACCTTTGGGGAATGTTGATAGCTACATTTTGATACCCCGTTTGCTACCAAAGACTGTAAATCATCCCAGATTGACAACGGTTTATGAAAAAATGATGCAGTTTGTAAACTTGCAAATTTAAAGATTACGCGAGGACAACTGACAGAACGCAAACACACATGCCCGTAATTGGCCCCCATGGGCAGCACAGAGCCTGAACAAAGCGCGGGTCATTCAATTTTACATGCTCCTATTCATACAAGCACTGTGCGATTGCCATTCCCTGCCGTTCATTTCAGGCAGTGTATTTGTCGACGTTGGACGATTGTTGCAGCGTTTATATCAATTCTTACTAGTCCAGAATGGTTCAAAGGACCTTTCAGTGGACTGTTCTGGATCTTGCCATAAGCCCCGCCCACTTTTAGTTTGTGTACATTTCTCACAGTGCTTGTGACCCAGTTTGACCTAGCAACCATAGTCACCTGACAACATGCCATGATCCGATTGGTCAGTGCGCACTGTTTGAGTGACGGGCAGGAAGGATCCATTCATACCGAAGGTCAACAACCATGAATTTGTAGATGACTTTTGTTTTATCCGATCAGTGGCACGCTAATAATTCCTAAAGTCCCTACTGCCCTAAAATATGAATGCAGTGCTGAATTCCATGTTTCTTTTTGAAAACAAAAATATACCTTGTGGTTTCCACAATCATTTGTAGTGCACACACACTTCTTCCGAAGAAGGGGTGCATACCTATGTTCCCCAATACCAATGTTCCCCGAAATTCTTGCGCTATAACCCTAACCCTTACCCTAATCCTAAGGATTTCGGGGAACATTGGTATTGGGGAACATAGGTATTGAGGAACATCGGGTAGACCCCCCCCCCCCCCCCTCAAGTTTGCATTTCCTTAGAGCAGATGTTTTTGGTTGCTTTGTCGGTGGAATGTCTTTGATTTCAAAGGTTTAACTGTTATCCTTTTTTTCTTTTATTAAAAGAGAGAAAACTTACCAAAAGAGAAATATAATCAGATTATTAATTATTGCTTTCTTTTAAGGGATTTTATGCTTCTTTTAAAAGTACAAGTATGAAAGCTTTAACCAATTAAATGTACTCATAGAAAAAGAATTGATTTTTCTCTAAAATTTCTAAACCCAAGTTTAGGGGAAATTTTCTTTTCTTTAACCCAAGACTTCCCAATATTTATGTTTAAATTTCAAGGCATAATAATATCATTTAATCAGATTGAAGTTATTTTAGTCTCGACACTTCCATGTTTATTGTTTCTAAAAAATTCCTTGTTAACAATGCCTGTATTTGATTATAGTTATCTTGCATTTTAATATTTGTCTTCATGCACTGCCATAATTATTTTGTTATGCCACGTACTTTAGAAGATTATTTATTTCTGAATTTGACCTCAATGTGTGACACGTTTGTCACAAAATTGCACCGGTTCCTTCTTCAGGGACTTTGCCAAGTCCAACCATTATCTTGCTTCATTTTCACTTTCATTTCCATAAATTTTGCTGCCCTTTACACCTGCAGTTTTCAAACTTCATTTCTATAATGGAGTTGGTCAAAAATCAATTGTAAAATAATCCGCTTAACATAACACTAAACGTGCAAAATACATTAAAAAAAAACATATTTTATAAAACTCAAAAATAGCATGGAGTCATATTTTTCAGTATTTCATCCTATAATTCTTAGAGAATATTTGAGGATATTTCCCACTTAGTTTTAAGCTCATGCATTTTTAAAACTGCATTTGGGTGTAGTTCCTAATTAAGGAAAACTATTACGAAATGGAATGTTTAATGTTTTAATCAAGGGGCAGTTGCTTGAAAAGCAACTTGTGGCCCTACAATATACAAAATTGATGTTTTAAACACCACCCATTTTTGAAACGTTCCAGAATTCTACTCAAGCAAATCGCAAGTCAAGTCGCTTTTTGCCGAAAATGGCTCACAGGGTAGAAGTGAGCTGTCCAATTTGAAATATAACCATGTAACCATCACTTGCATTATATTATAAATAATGTAAAAAAAAAATGTGCACACAATGCATGTACCTTCCTGCCTTGTGTAATAAATGTAATTAATATTTACAAATAAAAGTATATAAAAGTACACTTTGTGTCATTTGTTGATTGCAATTTGTAATTGGGACATGTAAACATCCGGCCTCAGGTCAACCCGCGACGGAATCGTTGCATCAAGCAGAAAAATAATGCTCGGGTCACAAAACTGAGAAATCGTGTGATTCTATTTTAGTAGGTTGCCATACGGAATCATTGTCTTCAGAATTCTTCTGTAATGATTTCAGAGGCAATGGAATCTTATGTCCATCCAAGTCTGTCTGTATGAAGAGAACTTTTCGTGTGTTCTTCTGCAAGGGCATGTTAGATAAATTGCGTTCATGACACTGATTTCTCTGTTTTGCAAATACACGACGATTCCACGGCATAGACAGTCATGTGGCTTTTTAACAATAAGGGCATGCATACGTTCTTGGCTGGTTCGGCTCGGGCCGTTATCAGCGCCCATACCCTGATACGGTCTGAAACGTACTTGTATTCCTGCATAAATACCTTTGAGCCAACAAAATCGAAACAAGTCAAAAAATTTTAATTTCCAACGATTTTGTTCAACATTTTTACTACATCTTTTCTTAAAACATCCCTTTAGCTATGGTATGGTATGTGCCTCTCGCGAGTAGCAGTAAACAATCTCCTTTTATGGAGATTGGCGTGCGCGTGGCGCGTACTGCGTGATGTGGTGTAGAACGAATTGTGCCAGTATAGTGTGCTGATTGGCTACGCAATAAAAAATGATATCTTGATGCGCGCATGACATCGTAAATTCACACAGGCTGACTGCGATTGATTCCAGCCTGTTGGGAACACGTTGTAGAAGTTGTAATGTTCCTACTCTTGCGGCTGTTGATTTTTTAGCGCCGACTGATTCCGATCGTCTTAATGTTGTCGCAATCACACGGTCATGGCTCAGGTACAGCTTGATCGTGAAAAGTCAGTCGCCGACTGATCTTTGTTGTCACAAGGTCAACCTAAGGGCAGCTTAATGGGATGTAAAAAAGAAAGTGCACACCACGCAATTGTGGGATTTTCTGGTTTATTAATTTGAATCACAAATTGCCCACTATTTTTTGTATATAGTTTGGTAACTTTTACGGTGATTCGCATACCAATACTCCCAGGCAAAAATGTATTGTTTTTAACTGTCTGAACTTAAGGCTGTGTCCGGATTATGCACTAACCTTGTAAGCACGGAGTCTTAAGTTACGAGCTACATACCTGCATACAAGCCCAAATCCCTTGCTTACATGTGAAATGCTCTTACTATTACCAAAGACTTATGTGCTATCGACCAATCCTAAAACACACTTCTATCATAGAGGCCCCCTCCAATGACAAAAGCATCGTGCTAGCTATTGTTCTGATAATCCGTAATGGGGCAGTTGCTTTGCACAAAAGTGTGCACAATGCTGTCGCCATTGAAGGGGGCCTCGTGAGTGTAAAGTGAACACTGCATTTGCCTGGATTGGTCTATAATTCACACAGATTCTTCGCTTTGGGTGTATGCAGTGATGCAATCTGGTCCAGTGACCGAGGCTTAACCTGACCCAAATTGACACCCCCACTGGGTTCATTTTTTTATTTTATCACATCATTTACCATGAAGGGGTGCTGAAAATCCACATGTTTTCCCATATACATCCGCAAGTAGAATTGTAGAAAGTGATTCGAGATTTCAAAGACTCCAATCCAATTTGTGTGGCATGGGTGGCTTGTGCGCAAAGTGCTTGCCTCTCACCAATGTGGCACTGGTTCGAATCCCAGCCGGACCACATGTGAGTACAGTTGTGCGTTGGTTCTCTCCTGTGCCACAAGGGTTGTTCTCCCTTCCCTCCGGTTTCACTTTCGATCTCAGGCTGTGCTCCATGGTAGTATGTGGGTTGATGTGGCCGGCAGCCATAGGTGCCTTTACATGCCAGCGGCTCTCAGCTTCTCAGCTGGCAGTAAGGATAATTAGCCTCCCAAATTATAATTATTATTATTTGACATCACAAGATGTCAAAGTTGCACCTTACTGCATGGCCTCTCTCAGTGTGTCGCACACAATGTCTCCTCATTCAGAGTCCCACTCCGTCCTGACTTTCTTCCTTTCGTCTGGCGGGCAACGCTCACACACAGATGCCCTTCAAAAGCCTGTCAACCTCTTGATGATTTTATCCTGCTCAGTTCTGTCCACTGGCTCATAGTTGGAGAATTCCAGAGAGAAAGTTGCTGTGCCAGACGTGAGACTCCTGAGTGAGGTGGAATATCCCTGCAGAACATGTGAAGGTGTAGTGAAAGGTTTTGTTTAATCATTTTTCACAAAAATGGCACTGGAATCAAATCTACTGGACCGAAAAAGAGTTCTTGGTATTATTTTCCTTCCAATGAAATTTCCTTTCTGTGTACAATGTATATCAATAGTGTAGGTTTCTGCATATTGGAAGTATGAGGTTGCATTATTTTTTTTGACAACCCTGTATTTGCAGTTTTTTCTACAGTTTGATGTAAGATTGATCTCACCATCATTTCAGAGAGCGGTGTCCTTGCAACCAACACCCGGCTGTCATCTCTGGTCTCTATGGCAACGACCTGACCCCTCCTGGAGTTGAGGTCACCCAGCACATCGCCCAGCCTGCCCTCACTGGTTACAATCTGCCCAAAAGGTCAAAAGGTCAAAATAAGACAAAAATTAACCATTGTGCAAGACATGGCCGTGTCTAAAAAAGGTGTCTAGAGATACAGCTACATCTACTGTCAGCATGTTTTTCTTCTAATATTCCTCACCTCTAAATTCATCATCGGTTCCAGAATCTGACACGCCGTGACACGGAGGGCGCTGTGTAAACACTGGGATGCACATGCTGAGACCATAGCAGGGGCAGTACCTGGACTCGTCTCTACACTCTCAAGCCTGATATGCATGTCTATGACTGGGAACCCGATGACTGGACCTTAGGACACCAAAAAAAAAATGGGGTCGGGTCATTAATTAAAAGTATTTGCCAAATTTGTCACATTTTTTACAGAATTTTGTTGGTGTACATTGCTAATGACGTTTGAATTCACCTATTAAAAGTGACGACATGCACTTATGCCCAAACCCAGGCACATTCTGGATAAAAAAAAAAAAAAATAAGTAACAACAATACCATCAGTTTCTTTAGTCTTCAGAATTCAAATTCCAACTGAGCCTAAAATGTTGAGCAGGTCAAAAATAACAAGACATTAATGAATATTACATTCGACTGAGATGTCACAAATGATGAGGAAAGTCTGAGCTGTGTCAGACTTTTCAACTTGGATGTTTTAAGTTTTAAAACCAGTTCATGCCGGGATTATTTTGTCAAATTTTTCTTTGAAGACCCCAACCAAACCTGCACCCAATTTCACGAAACTCATCGTAACTTACGATGCATTGCAGTGCTGCGATGCGTTGTATCCCTACGATGCGTAGCAGCTGCAACGCGTCCTGCGATCCATTTCACAAAACACGTCGTAAGTGGACGCGTAGTAGGTATATTTATAGCACAACTCGGTGACTGTTTTATGTATTTATTCAGCGTACAGTAAATAGTCATCTGATATTCAACAAAGAGTTGTCAGATCTCCTCTCGAAAAGTTTTTAAAACGTAAAACAAAATGGCGGACGTGTGATGCAATTTTAAAGGAAAACAAGCTCTCAGTGGACTGTATAGCTACTTTGAAATTTCAACTGCAATATTCCACGCTAATTCCTAAGTAATCAATAAATTTTCTATTTACAACTTTACACACATTGTCTCGGTATTATACTCTTATTTATGTAATGTTTATGGCATAAAACTGGCTAAGAAAAAGACCCTTCTTATTTTGCGATGACCACTAGACACGTTGTAACTTGCAACGTGTTTTAAGCCGTTGTCAAGGAACTTTCGACGCGTTCAACACATCGCAAGTTTCGTGAAATGGATCATAGGACGCGTCGCTCGTTGTGACGTGTTACACTTCATAACTCGGGTTGCGACGCGTCGCAGCGCTTCGTGAAATCGGTGCCGTACATGCTTTTGCTGCAATTTATGCGTTAGTGTACAAATGTTGAACTTTAAATTGCATAGTCATCGCTGTTTTGTAACTCTCCTGGTACCTTGTTGGCAGGCTGACATCACTCCATTACGGACGGCCTCCACCACCTCAATCCCACAATGCTCTGCACTCAGGTCACTTGACAGGCCAAAGGTCACCGGTTCACTGGAGTCATGTTTGGGCTGCACCAACAATCTAATGGTTGCTAGGTGATGCTGGGTACCAATAGTGCGGTCTAGAGTTGCTGCGTAGGTAACCAGAAAGAGTAAAAGTCAAATGTGAAGCTATGCATGCATTTGAAAATTGGGTTTACAATTCACAACTTGTAACAAGTACAAAAGAAAGTTATGTATGTTTTTTTAATGAATGAATGAATTTTAAGGCCAAAATTAAAGCTACAAGATAAACAGTGTCTGAAGTTTTAAAGTACATGAATTGATATGATCTCATAGAGCTATATTAAATTACTAGAGCGCTAACTTCGTGTACAAAGTAATGTCTTCTGGGCGCATCAATGTTTGTGCACAAACCTATGGAGACCTAGAAATTGTGTACGGCTTTTGTACGGCTATTTGCATATCTGTGTTTGTATTCCAAATCGGTGCGTTATCGAAGCCAATACGCCCAAAACCGAAACGCACGATCAGCAAATGAGCATGTCATTTTGCTCTACGCAAACAGCGCAACGCGTGCGCGTATCCACTGCAGATGCTTTTTTCCGTAATGTTTTTTTGAACCGTCAATGACGCGCTTAAGTTGTTTGCGTATGTTCTACTTGCGCATTGCATGTAGAGTACACTTTCAAAATTCAATCCATCTAATTTCATTATGTTCTACAAACACGCACATGAATTCAAAATGTCTGCCCCCAGGACGGCTTCAAAGCGTCTCTGCACGCAGAATGAGGAGTTAGCGCTCTAGTAATTTAATATAGCTCTATGTATGATCTGCACTGCACCAGTAATATAAATGATAAAATTCTAATTTATGGTTGACAAGGGAAAGTGAATGTCGTTTGACAGCATCTCAAACGGATATTAGGCTTTTCCCATGATACACTGGGAGTTAATAGCAGTCTATCTGATAGTGATACGCTTACATTAATCACATTCCAACAATGTTTGCCACAAACTTCTTTGGTACAATTGTGGCAGTCCAACTCATTCCCTGCCTAGCTAAAAAAAAAATGCTGCCAGACATAAAAAAAAACCAATTAGCTACAAACAAGCTGATCAAGAACTATGCTTAACCAAAGTTTTGACTTGCCTCCATGAACAATGGTTAAACTAGTCAACAGTAGTTAAACTAATACAGAGTTACACATGTATCACAGACCACTCATGCGAAGGTGTTAATTTTTCATTCAGTTTTCTTTTGACCAATACGGTTTTAAATGATATGTGCGCCCCAAATATTGGACGCATGCAACATGTGCATGAATGTGGTGCTACCTTGGTAATGGCTATCACTATTTGGGGGCAACCTACCATGGCTAGTACCATTGCTGATTATCAATGGGCTCACATATTGCAATGTACAGCAGGAAGTCAAGAGTTTTTGTGATGATGATTTGTAAAAGTTTGACTGGTATTGAGGCAGATAGGGGAAATATTTGGGAGAATCATGCCTTTGATGTCAGAGTATGTCTTTAAGAAAGATATTTGGCTATAGGACCATCGCAGATTTGTCCTTTGAAAAAAAAATATATGTAGAATAATGTGAATAAAGAGCAATTTACAAAATTTTCAAAATAGCTGCCATTGTTTGTTATTCTACCTATATATTGTTCAAAGGTCAAATCTGCGATGGCCCTTTTGCCAAATCTCTTTCTCATGACATACTCTGACTGTGTGCAAAATGCCATGCTTGTATCATCTATAGCTATAGCCCATCACCTATCTGCCGTACTATAGTACCATTCGCACTTTAAAATGAGTGCGCATGCAAGTCAAAACTGCTAATCGATCATGGTCCTAGATCAAACTCTGTCCTTACTTTGCTGTGTTGCCTCTTGTGTTATCCTCTCTCTGTAAGAGATTTGCAGCGGTCCCACTTCCGCGTCAATCTTGTACTCCTTCTGAATCCGATCCAAGATGATCTCCAAATGCAGCTCACCCATGCCTGACAAAATCGTCTGATAAAAAACACCAAAAACAAGTATAGCTGGGGAGTCTAGTTGGCACTGTGGTACTTTCCTTGTGAGGAGTGTGGACTAGTGGCTAGGGTTCTTGACTCATAGTCAGAGGGTCAGGGGTTCGAATTCAGCTGCTGGTCATATGTTGTGTCCTTGGGCAAGCCACTTCACCCCCACTTGCCTTTCTCCACCAAGGAGTACAAATGGGTACTGGCATTGGCTGGGGAGTAACCTGCGATGGACTGGCATCCCGTCCAGGTGGAATAGAAATATTCTCAGTTGTTTCATGCTACTGAAACCGGAGATAAACGTCAGCATGATGGGTCACATTCATGACATTGGCTTGTGACAGACTTTACTTTTAACTTTTACTTTCCTCGCCTTCCACCTCTGTTACCCGGGTTCAAATCCCATCAAGGCCCGCATGTGGATTGGGTTTTCAGTCCCTACCTGATGGCACTGATTTCCTCCAGAATGTTTCATTTTTTTTTGTCAGCCCACCACTAAAACTGAACAGGTCTTCATTATGTTTCCCCACTAGGTTTCTACAGGCATCTGAGCAACAAACACTGAGGGGCCTTTTGTAGAATTGTTGGTTTTATTAATAGTTAAGTGAATAATAATGGTGATAATAAATAATAGAATAACATTTTTGTGCCGTTGGATATTGTAAAAAAATATATATAAAATATATCATATACCTTTGTGTGCAACATATTTTCAGCAGGCAAGCACCTTTACATAATCATCAGCATTACTTTGAATAGGTTTATTTTCTTATTAAAAACCAAGTATGTTTTCGTAACAGTTTAGTTTGGTCCTCTCACGTGTAAGCCACATAGTGCTATTAAAAATGTGGCTAACATTGGTTGGGTATCTCAAGAGTTTCTTAATATCAGTTAATGTGCAGGGGCCAATTTCATGGCGCTGCTAAGCACAAAAACTTACTTAGCACGAAAAAAAGTCTGACTTATAAAAGCAGGTTACCAGCCAAAACTCAATGTGATGTATATTGCTCGTGATTAGCAGTCAGCTGTTGTTTGCTTAGCATGTTAATCACATGGAGTTTTGGCTGGTAAGCTGCTTTTATAAGCCAGATTTGTTGTGCTAAGCAAAAGTTTGTGCTTACCAGCACTGTGAAATTGGGCCCAGGTCTAATTACCTGTCCTGTATCGACGTCTGTTCTGACTCTCAGGCTCGGATCTTCTCGCTGTAGACACTGCAGGGCCTTCTCTAAGTCTGCGTGTCAAAGCAGGTGAATCATCACTCATTTAAGACTTGACTCTCATAAAACAAAGCTTGAATGATTCTGTCCTCCTACAGTTTGTGCAATCTCTAAAGTAAAGCTATGTAAAGAAATACCTCTCATAAGGAATTCCTTATAGTCACTATTTGTGCGAGGGGTGATTGATAAGTTCGTGTCCTAAGGAAGAAGGAGATGAGTTGTACAGTTTGGACTGATATTGTGTGCAGTTTAACTTGTTGAATGATTACACAGCAAGTTTGAAGCTACTATCTTTTCTTGTTTTTCTGTTGCAGATAATTAAACGTTATCACCTGCTTGGTAGGCTTGTGAGGCCGGCTCTATCGTACAGAAGAAGACCGGTTCCGGTACGTCAAGACTTCCAAGTACAGGGACTCTGTCCACGTCACTAGGATCATTGCTGGATTTACCCTGTCTCTTCAAGACTCTCGTAGCGGCATTCAGAGCGGATTTGGAGGACACCAAAGTATCTCCTGTGACTGTCTTCCTTGACGACAACATAAACATCCAAACATGAACAGATATTAACCCAAAAAAAGGAACCTTTGTGTAAACATTAAAGATGGTTTTCATCTGATTTTGCAATTCCTAATTACATGTTCATATTAATTGTTGAAGCTCTGTGATCCATTGAGAGCACAACCCATCTTATTTCTTTTAAGCACACAAGCATTTTTGAATGAACTCAGTGAAAAATATAAAGCAACAGCATTATTATAAGATGGAATTTTGCGTCGGGGTGATATAAATCAAACTATAGGTTTTGCCCTTCACCGACGTTTTTAAACACTGTATACTCGGTGTGTTATACCTCCCGAGTGAAAGTTGGAAAAAATCACTCGAATGGGACTCGAACCCACGACCTCCTGCTTTCTAGTGCAGATGTCTTACTAAAACATCAGTACGATTTTCTACTTCAATTCCAACTTTGTATTTCCAGATCCTTATAATAAACCACACTCAACAGCCAGTTTTTAGACGACACCCAACAAATTCTGCAAGCTAAATTGAAAACTTATACCATGCTCTGCTTCAGTGTACTTGTCAGGCTTGGAAAAAGGAAAATGCTGTTTGTTTCTTTTTCTGCTGTACCTGTTTCATGCCGACAGCTACAGCGATGTTACCAGCAGATATGCTCTGCACCTCCCTGTGATTGTCTGCAAGAACCCACAGCAAACGGCTTATACGCTCACTGCAGACCACAAAAAGAAAACAAAAAACCCCAAAGATGCCTTAAGACCAGCTCATACTTGCGGCAAAAGCAAATTAGGGAACTTACAACAGGTTCAGCAACAGATGAACACACTTCAAATGTGGCAAATGAAGTTAAACTTGCTTGGAATTTGAATTTGTGTACTAGTGAGGAATAAACAGGCCATCACGATGACGTAAATTTGAATTCATACATCTAACCCTCAAGTCCTAGCCATTTTGCTAAAAAACAAATTCCTGAATCTTCCAAAAATCCATTACTGTGAACCCAAAGGCACATTCTTCATCAACTTCTAAGATCCTACTTCTAAGATCCTTCTTTGATCCTACAAAATCTTGAAGGCTCTGTGAGATTTGATTTTTACAAACTTACGTGCAGTTCCTGTTGGCATTATAGATGGCAGATTGGGGCTTGAGTGACCCGGAGTACACCCGTAGAAACACCAGCGCCCCTCTCTGCTTGTCATGGACTATCTTGAAGGCGTAGGCGCACAAGTCCTTGCCGTAAAGGTGCCTGCCGGATAACAATGATCACGATAACAAGATGTCATGGTAAATGATCATGGTGACAAAATTCCCGTACTTTTTATTTAACCCTAAAAGGGCCGGGGGGGGGGGGGGGCATACGACTTTTTCCGCGATAGCCTTTAAAAAAAATTTTTTCGCGACCCAATCTGTTTTGACTTTTTAGTCTCGAGCCTTGCGCATCTTTTGATACCAAAAACATTTTCCGGCGCTATGCGCCGAAAAACTAAATTTTCCTATACACGTCGTGTACATAGAGCAGAATTACCATTCGTACATATTAATAATTAATTAGCCATAATTCCAAAACCCTTTGATCTATAGTCATGAAATTTCTTGGGTATGTTCATGATGAGTTGCTCTATGCATGTACTGAGTTTCAAAATGTTTCGTCACTCGATGGCCGAGATCTTAGGGGGGCGGAACCCCCCTCCCCCGGCTGAGAGATGGTCAAAATAACCCGGCCCTTTTAGGGTTAAATAATACAACAAAACAGCCATGTGACCATACCAAAGTTTGTCAACTAAGGGCTAATGGAGATGATCTCCAAACTTGATAGGAACCAATTGTGATGATTAACACAGTGGTGGCGGATCTGGTGCAGAGGGCGCGCCTTTCCCCATCCCCCGGCAGTGACTACCATTTTCTCAAATAAGGCCATTTTTCACTTGAGAGAGCCCTCCCCCCCCCAATGGAATATCTGAAGGTTTTTTTTGTACTAACACAATTTCCTGCTGTCTCTCATGAGGTGCAGGTAGGTAGTCGTTGACTGCATCCATCAGTAGTTGGACCCCTTTGTTCTTGAGTGAGCTCCCACACAGCACCGGGACAATCTTCTGATCTAGGGTCAGCCTCCTCACAGCACTCATTATCTGAGCAAACAAGCATTTATTAATATTATCATTATTACTATTATTTCTGGTAATGAAACCAAGGATTCCTCAAAAGCGCCCTAGGCACTGTAGCTTGCAAGCCTGAAGAAACTTGTAGAGAGGAGACAATGAGTAGAAATGACAGTTTTAGTGGGAGAAAAACCCCAGAAGAATATTCTGGGGAAAACCCACGGAATCAGGCAGGGACTGAAAACCCAATCCACATGTTGGCCCAGGCATGATTCAAACCCGGGTCACAGCGGTGGAAGACGAGGATAGTACAGCTATGCCAACCTGACACCTCCTTTTACCAAAACTGACGATGGTCGATTTACTTGCCTATGGCTGCCATTAACACATTTGTCTATACGAAGTGCTTTGAGCTGTAGCCAAGTATTTCTGAAGCAGGCTTCTATGCATGGTGGCTTGGACAATGACAAGCGTAGAGAAAAAAAATCATAGAAAAAAGAATTTCCCACCTCCTTCACCCGATGAACAAAAATAGTTTCATAACATTTTTTATTTAAAAAATACGAGGTGAAAGAAGTTTCCATCTTATAACAATAGTGAAAGAAGTTAATTACTTAAATTATTAAACCCAATGCAAACAAATAACCAAAATGCAATCAAGTACTGTGAAATCTTGATAACTCAAACTCTGGTAATTCAAAACAACTGTTAAGTCAAACAAAGAATCCATTGCCTCCAGTAGTATAACAATGATATACAACCCTGCTTAACTCAAAACTCTGCTTAAGTCAATTTTGAACCTGTTACTTAAGGTTTGACTTATAAAGATTTCACTGTAATTTCAATAAATGTGATGCCTACAAGGAATTGGGAAGATAATAGGGGTGGGGTTTACAATTGATAGCAGCCCCATTCCAAACAATACCTGTCATGAATATAAGAACAAATTCAATTTGTATAGTTAAATGAACCACGGTGCCTACCATTTCTGACGAAACTTTATTGAAGTCAATTTCATCTTGATTCAAAATAGCTTCAGCAAAGTCCTCATCCAAGTCCATGAGCTGAAAGACAACAACAGAGAACATATGAGGACCAGGCAAAGGTATGGTTTCTAAATGACAAATGAACAGAATTCGTTTTTCTACAAAAATATCCAATTTTACGAGAAAATACTAACCTGTTCTATCAATCCAATTCTTGCATCTGATGCCCTCAACCATAACTTCGCATCGTTTTGCTCGGTGATTGCTTCTCTTGTATACGTCTGTCCTGCATCCACGGTTGCTTTTGGTTGCCAAGTAACGGTTTCCATGGCAATGATGTCTATAACGCCAGAAAAGCTGCGGTGGTGACCTATGGGCATCTATACAGGAAAAGAAATTGACAAAATTGACTGTAGCTGAAAATTCTGTGCTTACTGTAAGCTGTGTAAAATCCTGCATGTTGTGAGAAAAAGGCTGATGTGGATTAGGATTGGAATCATTTGCCCTTGAGCATTAAACTGATGTCTGGCCATGATGACTGATAGCCAGGCTAATGATTCCAATCCCAACTGCAGCCCTTTTCACAACATGCAGGAAATACACAGATACATAAAACAGCACTGAAATTGATTAAGGCAAGGAACTTGGTCACAGTGTCCAAAAATGTTGTTGTCATCAATTTACAATTGTGTAGGGCTTTAGGCCAAGGATAAGGAGTATCTGCACAATCAAAAATTTTCAAAATTGACTTCACGGTTTTGTAGTTACTTCAAAAATAGTCAGACGGACACTTTTTAGGAGACACACTGTAGTTTGAACACTGTGACTCCAGCTTTGCTATTCCTACCTGTAACGGCACTGGCAATGCATGCAGTTTGTCTTGGATTGACGCCAGACAGAAGCCAAAGTCTGCATTGACTTTATCCATCTTGTTCAAGAAAGCCAGCCTTGGGATGCCATATCGGTTCGCTTGCCTCCATACAGTCAGGGTTTGTGCCTGTATGGTAAATTAAAATAGAACAGTTCACATATCTCAACATGTGTGAGGTTTCTAGGCATCGATCCTAGGCATCCAGTGGTCGGACTTCTTCAGCAATAACAAGGTCTTCCACGGAACAAGATTGCCAACCATCATCCACCAAATCCAACGTCGCCGCACTGCCGCCTTCTGTCACGTCGCTCGCCTGGCTGACAATATCCCAGCCAAAAACATTCTGGAAATCGCCATCAATTCCAGGAGAGGTCAATGGCCAACTCATGGCTGGAAGAGACCCCATGGCCGTCCAAGATAATCTTGGTTGGAACAACTCGGACGGCCAAGCCAGATTGACTGCATGTGGAATGAGGCTGTGGGATGCGGACATAGGAGATAGGCTCGACGGACTTACGCTATCTACAGATGAGTGAGTGAGTGGGGTTTCTCCATAATCAAATACCAAATTTACACAAAATCAGTTTGAAATGTAGGTTTGATCGACCCTTCAAAAATCTCTGAAATGCAAATGTTTGTTCAGTAGTTTACAACAATAATTGCTATTTGTTGCAAAAAAACCCAACTAACTGAACACTTTCAAAATAGTCTATTTAAAAAGCAAGGCAGCCCCTTTCAACATACAAAAGACGTTATAGAAGTATGAATATGCTTATTAAATTTAACGAGGACATTGATCTTAGAGTACAATTTTTTTCTTTGGCGGAAAAACAGATACTACTGGCTAAACAACCACCTCACAATTTTCCTGCCAAATTTCTGAATAAAAACACCTCTTCTCCCCTGGATGATTCTGAAATATTTTTTTCCTGTTATGAAACTGTTTGAGAATTCTCATTTTGTCCCATTTTTTTCAGAGTCTGCAGACACTCTGCCTATGAATTGACATTACCTCAACTCCCTGCGAGGCATCGAACACAGCGATGGCACCATCCAGGACCCGCAGTGACCTTTCAACTTCAACAGTGAAATCCACATGACCTAAAAAAATGGAAGCAAAATCAACTAAAGACAAGCGAATAGCATAGCATATTGTAGACCTACACAGAAATAAGACCAACAAGTGACCATTATAACTGGGTAGCTACATGTATTATCTAATGTGCCATTCCATGCCAAATCACGTGTATTCTACAAATGTCAGTGCTGTGTGACAGTGTTGTAAAGGGTCACTCAATTTTGTGACTCCGATCTAGTGAAGTCACTCCAAGGCATGACTCGAGGCGAGACGAGCTAAGACAGCAAGTGGCTCCAGTAGGTTAGCAAGGTTCAGTCGAGTCAAGCCACATCCTAGTTTGCTCAATTTCGTGCCACAACATTAAATTTGGCGGCGTCTTATTAAGTATCATAAAGTTAGGCTGTGTTAAGGTCTATTTAAAAAACAAAATTGTGGTTCAATGATGGACGTTTCTGCAATGATAGAATGAGGAGGGAGTCCTTGGCGTGCCTGTAATTGCATGCACCTTGCAAGCACAAGTCAGCTTATTGACTTGACGTGAAGTTGTAGCCTTTTAATATTCCCTGAAACTATTTTCTATGTTTTTAAGGACTTAAGTGTTGTTGAGCCTTTGACTCGAGTCAAGTTGAGTCCTTTGCGCGGAGAAGAGTTATTTGCCTTTAACGACTCGAGTCAAGACAAATCACAGAAAGCAGTGACTCGAGCCAGACCTGAATTGAGTTTTTGAGTCTGCTGTGTGTTGTGCTTTGGTCTGGGCTGGTTGTGTGCAAATATGCAGACAAAGCTTGAATTCTAAGGAACCATCTGGAAATATCCTCCTCTGTATGAAGGGACACATGTTTTTTGCACACATACCTGGGGTGTCGATGAGGTTGATCCGATGGTCCTTCCAGAAGAAGGTGACCGAGGCCGAGGTGATGGTGATTCCGCGGTCTCGCTCTTGAGGCATGTAGTCTGTCACAGTGTCGCCATCATCCACATCTACAAACAAACAACGGACAAACACACATGACTGAGGAAGGTTGAGCCCTGCGAGTCTACTACTCTTCAAAGTCTTGGTGCATGGTGATTGGAATGGGGTTAGGATTGAGGGCTGATTCTCAGCAAAGTTGCATAGGAGTTGGAATTAATAAAATGCAGCTACTAGAATCTAATCAATAAGCCAGTTCAGTATTTCAATGACCCGATCAGGATAACATCGCTGTTGTGATGTTACGTGATGTTACCAAGGGTGTGAGTGACCACTGCTAAAAATAGCTGAAAACAGCTGAAAAAGGTGTAAAAAAGCTGAACTTTATAAATCTCCTATACTTTTGTACACAGCAAGTAGGGAAAAAAAGCTGAAATCCAAAACAAAAAAAGCTGAAATCAGCTTTAAAGCTGAGATTTCACACCCGTGTTACGCCCACGCTCATTCTGCTTGTAATTGACACGCAAGCGTCGTCAGCCTGCGCATTCATGCGCCTTCGATTGTTCGATTATCCCAACTAACCCGTGACCCATATGGTTGTGCACATGCGCAGTTGAAATACCCAACTGGATTATTGAATACCATTGAAGAAAGCAGTGTCCACTACCAGTCCAGTCACAAGTACTTCACAAAAAGTACATCTCTAGAGGGGATGAACGCCTTTGTCAGTTCATTTGATAAGCTTGTGACGTTGTTTCAAACTGGAGAAGTGGAGGACTTGTGATGGACTTTTGATGAACTTGAGTACAACACTAGTTATGAGTAAGACTGACCTCCTAAGTGCTTGGTTGTTCCTGAGTAATACAGCATCCTTTCTGTGGTAGTGGTCTTTCCAGCATCAATGTGGGCCATGATCCCAATGTTTCTGATTCGACTCATGTCCACGCCAGGAGAACTCTTGGTAGCTACACACCAAAAAAGACAAAAAATTTAAAATAACAGACAACTGTAGGTTTTCGGATATTACAACAAGATGTTCAGTTAAGGCAATTAATACAAGAAAATGCAAAATCCTCCAAAGAAGGATTCCATTAATTTATTGATCACGGGAAGTGGTAACTAGTAATTTTTTAATATGGTACATTAGACATTTTACCCAAAAAATTGGCGATTCCTAAATTCCTATACTATAGAAACAGGTGTTCTGGTCAACTTACCATTCAAGCTGATAGAAGTTCTCTGTACAGAATTCATGTTTCGCAGCAGAAAAAAAGGAGCATCTCTTGCTGTCCAATGCCTACTTTGAAAGGGGCGACCACACTGACAACACTGAAGGTATGAAAATAATTCTGTATTTCACTTTCAATGTGTCATATGATTTTAGGCTTGCATAAATACCCAAAATTCTTCATTCATTCATTTTCTTTATCCATTATTAGAACAGGAATAACATAGTTATTTTGAACAGTTAACGGTTGGTGCCGTGCGATTCAGCGCACTTGCGCGTTCAAGGTACACTGCACGGTGATCGCCATCTTTATTTTCGTATTGCATTTTGTCGTTGTCATCATCCTTTTACCCCCAATTTTCCCTCAAAAATTCAAAACCCTGCCCTTAGTATCTATGACATAGATCGTGTTTCGTGTTTCAAGCAAGACAAGAGTCTGAGGTTTCGAATCTCGATGAAGTAAGTCAAGTGACTGATTAATAAATAGAAATAAAGGAAAGGAGAGGGTGAGAGTAGAGGAGGGAAAGTGGAGGGAATAACCATAAAGGATGCAACTTTTGGCGCTTGAAAATTAATTGAAAAAAGTTGCGATCGATTATGGAATTTTTCCCTCCTTTTTATAGCTCCATGGACATTGTGTACCGTGGACGTGGTGGTGCGGCGCGGCGGCCGGGCCGGGCCGGGCCGCGGGAGTGTGAGTGCAGTGACCAGCACAGCAGTCGTGGCAGTGCAGAGTGACTGAGTTAGGCCGACTGCAGCAAAAAAAAAAACGCTCACCTTTAAGGCAACTGATCTCCACAATAATCGACTAGCCATTTTTCTTCTCAATGTTCTTAATGCAGAGAGTAATAATCTAGACAATTTTCATGCACGGACGTGCACATCACTGCTGTTCGTGCATGGGCGCTGACATGTTTGATATTCGTTTGTTGTTTTTCATTACTCCTTAATTTTATATAGACTTGAACAAGTCAAGTCATTTGCCGCAATCACTGATCTAGCTCAATCATCATCCGCTGCCGCCGATTGAATGTCTGAGGCCGTAGTTGCTCTTTAACATGTCGCGCACAAGTGCCGTTTTTTAATTTTAAAGTGTTGAGACTTACCCTGTTACCAAAAGTGCTACTTAAGATTGAGAAAAGAGTCAGATAAATATAATTAAGAAGGATTTTTAAAATGCGAACAAACTAGTATCGAAACGCAATTCTGGCATGTTCTTGCTATATCATCTCATGCTGCGCCGAAAAATGTTTAGCATCATGTAAACATGTTCAAGTTTACAAAGATAGCAAGAAGTGTTTAGAATTGTGCTAAACACGTTTTTTTTTGTCGGCCAGAGCACTTATCCACACGGATTTTGTTTGCATATTATGTTATATACAAATTATACACGTAAACCCGCCTTTGCGTAAAAGTGGAGGTGCGGCATAGGCTCATTATTTTGGCCCAAATTGTGCCCAAATTGGCATGCAGTGCATGCCAAAATAATCTAAGAATCATTTTAAGAGGTGGACGGTGGACCCAACTTAAATCTTGCTGATTAGGGGGCGGAGCTGATTTTTCAGCACAAAAGATACTCAGAAGAGTCAGTTTTCACGCCTGCGCGTATGATAGCCGCTCCGACCCATTGTCGGAATTCAGGTTTTGGTATCAAAAGGAGACTCGAGGCTTCAAAGTTAGGAAAGCTCGTTTCGGGAAAACATTTTTGCGACGTACGGGCATCGCGGAAAAAGTTGAGGGGGGGTGCGTTCCCCCGGCCCTTTTTAGGTTGAACGCTTTTATATTACATTCCCATCCCCGCCACCATGGCTCCGCCATACGGGTGATGCTCAGACTAATCCCCGCCCCGCCTCGCCAAGCCCCGCCAAGCCCCGCCAAGCCCCGCCCTGGAATCAGCGAGGCGTGACTAAAATGGCGCGCATGTGCAGATGCTTGTACAAACCCCAGGTTGACGTTGGCATGCAGGTTACTGTGACTGTCATGTTGCATCCGAAGGAAATACCATCTAATTTTAAACCACAGCTTTAACACCAACTCAGGCTTATCTGCATTGCGCATAAATCTTTCGCCTTTTACTAAAGATTTCCGTGTAGATGAGCATTCTGATGAGTCTATAAACAATTTTTCCCTGGCTGAGCGAAAGCTCGGCCTAACAATCAAAACCAAAAATAGAACACGAAACGACAAAATTGTACAGAAATCGCTGTAGGGCTGTTACCGCGTAGTTGAAGAGACGGAAACTATTACTGTAGAACTCGATGAAGATATTGTGGTAAGTCGATCAGAAGTTATGATCAACATTGCAACAAAAAAATAACTGGATTCATAGATACCATAAAATGCGGGTGCACGACTTTAGGCCAAAAAAAAAAAGTCTCCGGTTTCTGGTATGCGCGCGCGTCGCCGTAGCCATGCGCGTCGGCAAAATGAAAAAGTTTTTTTTTCAATACAAGATGATGTTTCAAAACCGCCAAACTCACTGGTTTGACTGGAATTCTGCTGCTGCACAATTTTAACGTGTTTTTAGAAGGGGTTATGATCGAGAATAAGATTTATGTGGCCTCTCTGGACTCCCATATATTTGCACTAAGTTTAGTCGGGCACCATTTGCAGTCATCAGCCGACATTTGAAGCAAAAAAAAAAAAAAACAGGTAAAAAAAAAAAAAAGCCGCGTCGCCGCACCACTTTTGGGGCAAGCTCCATACCAGAAACCGGAGACTTTTTTTTTTGGCCTTAATAATGAAGTTTAGTTTTTGCTGGATTGGAAGAGTCAGCCTCATATCCTTTGACTGCATGACTTATTGATTGACCGACTCATTGAGTTGTTGAAGAATACTATGGTCTACAGAGATTAAAATTAATGTTCATCATGTAACTGTGTTAAATGTGGACCGCTGAATATGGTATGTCAGGCGCGGATCCAGGGGGCACCCCCCCCCCCCAGCTCTGTAAAAAAAAATGGGTTTTTTTTTCATAGAAATATCTTTACAATAATCCGAAACTCCCCCCCCCCCCTGCTCTGACACCCCAAAAAAATATACTGGCAATAATGTCCGCCTGTGCACAAAATACGGACAGAGCCAGCTTGGTTATGTGCTATTTGTACACTATTCTGTAAAATAGTGTTAAATATTTCGTCGGATTTGAACAGCGCCCCCATTGAAAGTATGGCCTACACATTATTATTCCACGAACTTTTTCACTTCTTGTCACGTTCTGAGACTAGCTTTACTACAAGCTTGTCTTTTTGGTGGGTCAATATTCTTCATAAGCCCCAGGCTCCAGAATTTGTTTCCATAATTGTTTTTCCTCATTGTAAGTACGCTAGTTGATGCCCACCCCGGCTTTTGACGTAGCTAGCCTAACCTTGTTGGCTTGGCAAAATGAAAATGGGCAAGGAAAGGAACAGAATCGAAGCGAAATTTAAACCTTTATTCCAATAAGTATCCACAAGAGTAATAATTTTCCCGATTAAAACGAGCAAATGCAACTTTATAGACAAAATTTATAGCTTCAATTTGGAGCAGACGACAAAATGTTCCCGTAAACTTTGCCGGAGCAACCAATGACCAATCAAATTGACAGCTTTTTGCGTTGCCTTGTTGCACGATTTGTTATGACCGTATTACCTCGGGGTGTTGATTGTCACGTGCGCAATAAAACATAGAGCCAACTAGCGCAACAAAATCGTGAACATGGTTTTCAAGATTATATTTTTGGGTATCATTTCATTTGATTAAAGTTATTATGTATATATATCTGGAAATATTTCAAAGACGTGTGGTAAGTTTGGCGATAAACCCTTTTATTCCTAGGCGGACTAATCTGTAACTTTGGATTCGTCGTTTCGACGCCATTTTGAAGGGGGCGATTGATGTCAACAACACAGCGGATCCCGTGGATGGACTTTAAAATGTGATTTCTTTCCACTAACAAAAGTCTGGGATTTCTCAGGATATGTCCATGCAAATTAAAGTAACTGAGGTGAGATATTCTTAAGTATTAATTACTTTAAAATCCACAATACCCTTTGGTCCCACAAAACAGTGGCCGACCTTTCTTTTTCGCACTCGGGTCCCCGGTCTACGTGGTCTATCGTACGGTGCCCCAAATTCGCGCTACCCAATATTCGCGCAACCAACATTCTCGGCTCGTATAATCGTATCTTTTTGCACACAACACGGACCAACGTCAAATCACCATCGATGATCCATCGTCACATCGCCTTTCTTCTCAATTCAGTTATGTGGAAATCAAAAGCTTTTCCGACATGTCCGAGAAGTTATTTGAAAGAACGAAGTGGCTATCATTACGGCAGCTGTTGTTTTAATGTTTAGCGCCCTCTACGATACTTTTTTGATACGCACGCAGGTATATAATTATTTGTTTCCCCACGTTTTAGCGAGCAGTGCAACAGCTCAGTAGATCGCATCTCAGTTTTGCACTCAAATTTCTTTCCTTTTCTAACCTGAGGCTTTGGAGGATTTTTTTTAAAAGGGAAATAAAGTCCGAATTTCATAACGTTCAAATTCACTTTTTTCCTTCTAATTTTAAATTTTCTTCTCATGTTGTTATAAAAGTTGCAGTCTGCCGTAACGATAGAAAATGGGAAATGCGTTACGGCTGCTGTAACGATAGCCACTGCGTTGAAAGAAATCAAATAGGGCCTAGGCCTAGCCCTAGAGAGAGTAAATTATTGCCGTTTCAGACATGACAGACAAGGTACAAATGTAACGACTGACCTAACATTATTGAATGGCCCAGAAAACTGATAAAGACATCGTTACGAATTTCCAATTTCCAATCAGTGTTGCCTTGCCGTCCAACCCAAAAGTGAAAGACAACATCTGTCAACTTTCACTAAACAATAGAGGGCGTAATCAGAATTAAGGAGCACGGAAAACGACCTGTGCCATATCATGTTATAATTTTACAATCTGTTTTGCCGAGAACATATTTCGGTACCGAGTTGTTTGTTGGAATAAATATGCTTTAAAATATATTTCTGTCGGACTAATAAGACTTAGAGTGGTAATGTTTAAAATACCAAAAATAGGCTGATAATTATTTTTGAGAAATTGAAATGAGGTGTATATATATGATCATGTGTCGTGATGGCGTGATTGGCCGACACGGTTTGATCGATATTGCACAGTTGATTGATATCGCAGGTGTATTAGAATGAGTAACAAATGCCATACAGAAGGGTGATTTTGTTATGTTTTTACTGGAAGGGTCATTTCAAATACTTTTTTCCATGTACTCAAAAATATAATCTGGACATACTATGTAAAATTGCATTTATTGCATTTTTTGATAGATCTGTGTATATTTGTAAAATGTTATGTAATCAGCATGGTTGATTTTCAGCCCCCCAAAAAAATTTCTCGGAACTCTTTCCATGCGTCTGATTTTACTTCTTAGATTTTCGACAAAAATATATTATAAGTAAGTTATAAAAACTTTGTGGATTTAATTTATTTACCTCAAATTTTGCATGTTGTGTTTACCAAAATCGAAAGAAAGAAATTTATTTCATATTGAACAAACGTGTATTTAGTAACAACGTCGGATGGCAAATTAAAGTGAGTTTATCAAGCTAGAGACCAAAGTTCTGCACGTAAACGTATCCTTTATTCAACAAACATCGATCCACATTGTTTTCAGAAGTAGGACGCAATGGAGACTCCGTAAAATGATGTTTTCCGTTTGTGCGTGAATTATGGACATGAAACCTCCCTGGCAGCCAATTCGACTCATCTACTGAAGATGACGTTTGATATTGTTCAAATTATTTGTCCATGTAGTTTATTAGTCATTCTAACAATACTATAGTCCATAACTATGTAGGGTTTAGTTTATGCAAGAAAAAAAATTGGTCAAAGTACTAAGTGCGCGAATAATGGTCACATGAGGATACAGTTTAGTCAGACTCCCTTAGTATTATCGCGGCAATTCTTTTATCGCAGCGTAGAAAATTTCTCGGAAAAAGTGTTGCAACCTGACGCCTCTTTTTTCTTCATATATCATCTCAATGAAGGTCAGTCATTGCAAAAATGATGATCAGTAATGATAAGTAGGGCTGGGGGGGGGGGGGGCATTTCAGCACGGATGTGCCAAAAAACCCAAAAAAGATTTTGCTGCTGCAGCATGCCTTTTACTGAGCAAGTGCCCCTTTTGGTGATGCCCCCCCCCCCCTCGCCATTCAGTAGACTTGTCTCAGTGAGTTTTATTCTCCTTTTGGGAAGGGGCAGGAAATCTGGCCAAGGTGAGGTGAAAATTTTAGTGTTTGGCGGTGTCAGTGTAACAGTATTTGCTATAAACCTACTTACACCCAAATCCAGCCATTTCTGAAAATTACAGCAAAACCAAATGCCTCGTACTGCCTTTAATTCAGTTTTTGAATCACAGTTGTATCTTTTGTGTTAAACACCACCTCTCTATGTTGCCAATACACATCATTTAGCTTCATACTGCACAAAGTAATATATACATGTAGTTGCAGTATATTCATCATGATATTGATAACAATACAGTACAATTTGGCATTGTGACAGAATGAAACTGAACACAGCATGGAGTAAAGAGTGATTTTTCTACAACGCACTCCAAATGTTCATATATGCATGATGTGCATTTGCCATTTCTGCGGAGAATTTCTTGGGGAATCATAGGGAACAATAGCATTTCTTGTTAATAGAAGCATAGGGCAAGACACTCAATATGGCGTGCTGACCCCGTGATCTTGAAATCAAAACTGGCTAGAAATGATCAAGTTACTAATGTCAATAGTTCACACATTCAGTTGGATACTGTAGTTTACAAGAGGTATGCAGGCATACGTATACACTTGCACATCTGTACAGGGTATCTGCCTTGAGAGAAATAGCTGTCAATTGATGTTAGTGTTGGGCTCAGTTGATGAAATAGATTGTTAACTTTCGAAACTGCTATAAATGGGTTTGGAACCAGAAACACAATAGTTCTGTGATTATCATTAATCGTGAATTATAACTACTACAATTTGAATACAAAAGATCTAGTTACATGTATAACTTTTGTATGTAGTTTTTATCAGGGGTGTGAAATCTCAGCTTTAAAGCTGATTTCAGCTTTTTTTGTTTTGGATTTCAGCTTTTTTCTCTCACTTGCTGTGTACAAAAGTATAGGAGATTTCCAAAGTTCAGCTTTTTTTACACCTTTTTCAGCTGTTTTCAGCTATTTTCAGCTATTTTTGTCAGAGGTCACTCACACCCCTGTTTTATCATGTAGGCCTATGGATACAAAGACTGTACAAAAAGAAAGTTGGCCTTCATGTTGAATTCTTATTAAATTTGGCAAGAAATTATTGTCCTGAAGACTCTTCATTTTCAAGAAACAACATTCTGCAACATTTAAAGGAATCTTTGGACATCAAGCCAAACACAAAGTGAAACAACATTTTGTGAATTTTTCTGTGACAGGTTGTAGTTTAATGACTAATCTAATGACTTAAAAGTGACTTACCTTGTATTAAGTATTCGAAAGGGTTAGAATGTGAGGCAAAATGATGTCACAAATGGACAGGCCGAATATTGAGAACAGCTTTTTCTGATATTTTCATTTTTCTTTGTATCTTTCCAGGCTACAGCAAGCATGGAAAGTCCTTAATCACAACATTTCCAAGTTCTAGTGGACGCTAATTGCACCGAACCGTCCCCAGCAACTATGGTGGAGAAACATGCTGACAGCACGGACGGCCAGACCACCATCCCAGGAGCAGTGCCGGCTTCCTCTCAAACACCCCCGCCCAACCGTTACAACAAAGGCATTGAGGACTATGACGAGCTGTTGGAGGACGAGCCCCGCTATCTGGATGAGGAACCTGATAACGATGAGGATATAGAAGAAGATGGGGATGAAGAAGACGAGGAGGCAGAGGGTGAGGATGGAGACAGTGGGGCCGAAGATGTGCCAGAGGAGAAGGTAGAAGAGAAAGAAGTCAAGGAGAGGGTCCAGTCATCTACTGGGAGGAAGAAGAAAAAGAAGAAGAAAAAGTAAGTCAGATATAAACACGAAAGGCCTACCTGAAATGAGGGTATGGTGATACCAAAAGATAATACAAATTTGAAGTATAACAATTTAATTGCAATCTGGACAATTTACGTGTTACAACCTCAAGATAGTAAATCACTCTGGAGGCGCGGCATGCAGAATGAAATATTCTAATTCAAAACTGTGAATTATAATTAAACACACAATGAGTATTAGAGGGTAGATCAAGCACATGTGCCCACCAAGGCAGGTGGGCCCATATAAAGGGTCCCGACATAAGATATGCACGAAACGTTTTGTGAATGTATTTTGTTAAAAGTTTTTAATAAAAACTGTGATCAGAATCAAAGTTACATCACAAAATGGTCTTAACTGTATCATGTATGACACTAAATACATGTATGTATGGTTTTGCCTGAAATTTTATTTGATTCATAGACCCCCTGACTCCTGCTCTACTCTATTGAAAATATTAATTGTCCTCGTGTATGATTCGGCCATAAACCTCTCCTTCGTGGGAGCTGGCAAGGGTTTGAACCATTGAAAGTAATCCAAGAGTTTTATCAGAAACTGGTTTTTGTGAGAGTTTCTTCAAACTGTCTTTATTCCCCCGACTTGCAGACTTTATTTTCAGACTTGCAAAATAACATGTACCTCTTTTCCCCCTCAATTTCCCCCTACGTACAGGTTTATTGGTATCAATTTGAGTGGTTGCAAATATGATTCAGGTAGGTGCAGAAATTCATTTATTGTTTGTACCGGTAGTCTTTAATAAATAAACGACAAAATATACCGATAAAACATACAGCACAAACATTTCTAGCATTGAAAATTTCATCTATGAAACTCTATTTGCAGATAAGGATTGTATGACTCTGTAGTTTTTATTTACAAGAACAGTTTGTAAACCTTAGTAGTTATTAGTTGAGTTTGTTTGATGTCAACAGTGAAGCGCATGTCCAAGAAGTTTGGCATGAAGGAAGTGACAGACGATGAAGACTGGACCCTGTTATGGACCGACTGCTCGGTGTCTCTGGAGAGGGTCATGGAGATGAAGAGATTTCAGGTAAGACTGATGACTTCAAAAGTCATAATTGAGGCATCTGAAATATTGGAAAAATTCTGGGGAAACAACCGCAATAGGCTAACAGCATCGTAATCCGTAATACTGGGGACTATGTTGTGTGAAAAGTCCTGCCCAGTACAATTGGTTGATGAAGTTTCCCCTATAAGATTCCCTGTAATAATGCAGAGTTTTTATCAGACAGAATGAACCCTTTCGAAAAAGTTTCTCTGTCACAGTCCAGAGATAATAACAATTGAGATGCTGCTTAGGTAGGATCCAAGTGTTGGATGGGGGACTGAATACATTTTATAAAGACTCATAATTTTAGGTGGCAACTTCAGTTGATTGCAAGCAAGTTGAACAAAAATGTCTCAAAATCCTACATTCACAGGTAATGCACCAACTTTTTGGGGGAAATAAACATTTGGGTAGGGAAAAAAGTTTTGGTAGCCTCATGTAATAGCGTACTGTATTATTGAGCAAAGCAATTGTTTAAGGAAAGACTCGGTGTGCAACAAAAATATTTCACAAAATTAATCTGCCAAATATATGTTTGTGTAAATTGACATGATTAAGGGAGCACTGTATTATGATTCACTTCCTGTTGGGTAGGTAAAGTTACGGGTGAATTTGCAGGGCAAAGAAAACTCTTCTTTGTTTTTTTTAGTAAACTAAGATTGTCAATATTGTGTTTCAATGTTTACAGAAAGTGAACCACTTTCCCGGCATGGGTGAGATTTGTCGGAAGGATTTGCTGGGTCGCAACCTGACCAGAATGCTCAAGTTGTTCCCCAAGGAGTATGCCATCTTTCCTCGCACCTGGGTGCTTCCCGCAGAGTATGTAGCTGGTTATTTTCAGTCAGTAAACGCTTTTAAAGTTAACTTTCCATTTCCTCTGACCTTGCATTTAAGTGGTAATTTCTGTGTTCCATAAGAAATTTTAGGACAGGTGGTGTTTTTTTTGTGGTTTTTTGGTTTTTTAGTTTGTCTATTTTCTGTCTTGCAGTGTTTTGTCTAGCACTTCATCCACCTGTATAATGGGCAGTTAAAATGTGATTAAGGATGGGCACTTTTAAAAATGGACAGTCAAAAATGATTGCATCTAGAGCTCAAAGCGTTACACAAAAGCATTTAAATTTCACTTTAAATATATCAATAATGTCTTCTTAGAATATGAAATAATCAAATATAATTCATTATCATTCAAGCAGTGTTGAATGCAGTTTCTCATTAGGATCCTGTCTGAATAGGTGATTTATTTTTCTTTTCTTTTTTCCAGTTATGGTGACTTCCAAGCCTTCTGTCGCACCAAGAAGAACAAGACGTACATCACCAAGCCGGAGAGTGGATGCCAGGGCAAGGGGATTGCCATCACTAGGAACCCCAAAGACATCAAGCCAGGGGAGCATATGGTCTGTCAACAGTATCTAGCAAAGGTAGGTCTTCATTTCTGTCTTCCGTAATGTGGGATCAGATCAACCAAATTGGGTATTTTGTGGCTGTGGCTTAGCTTTTTACCATTGATGTGCAAGAGAGAAAGCTGCAGCCGTAAACAGCATTGCCCCTTCCAGACACATCCCCCAGGGTGATGAATTTTGCATTAAAAACAAAGTTGACTGTTGAGTTTGTTACATTACTCTGTAGTACGCAGATTCTTTGTTGAATTATTTGCAAGTCCTTACCCTTTACGATCTTCCCAGTTATCTCAAGTTTGGTCCTTGTCCAAATTTCTTAGCAACATGTACGGCTTGCAATAGCACATGTCTATGAAAATGGATTCAGCTGCCTGCACGGGCACACGTAAAACTGCTGGCCATTGCAATGTACGCGCAGCCAATAGTGTCAGTTGGAGATATTTGAAAAACTTGGCAGTAATAAGTTTCTTTCCCTTCTCGGGACTCTTCATGCTACATACTACATATTTGCAATCAGGAAGTCTTAATTCTGACATGCATGCAACAGCTGTGACCATATCATGTTTAGGGTTTTAGAAGGATGCAAAATAATCCATTCATCCCAAAGTATAATTGCTTTTTTTATCATTTGAGAATAAGCAAGTATTAGAATTGATCTGACTGTTTTTTTTTTTTTTTTTTGTTGACAGCCATTCTTGATTGATGGCTTTAAGGTAGATCTCCGTGTCTACGTGGTAGTAACATCATGCGATCCACTCAGGGTGTATGTTTACAAGGATGGACTGGCTAGGTTTGCTACCGTCAAATACACAGAGCCAACTAACAACAATTTGGTAAGTAGCAAAATAGGTACAACCTTAATCCACTGAAATCCAATTCCTAGTTTTGAAATGTATGGGATTCAGTAGTGAACGGCCAAGCTACCATTGCTTATGTACTATTCGGGTTAATGCACAGTGTTACAGTTAAGAGGATTTACAGGCACAACAGTAAAATAGGAAAGGGAATGATAATCTGGGTTATTCCCAAAAAGCACACAAGTGGGCGTGATTCATTGGAAATAATACCTAAAAAGCTGTATGCATAAACATGATGCACGAAGTAACATGATGCACTAAATCTTCTATATCTTCTCAGTGAGAGATAAGAAAAAAGAAAAAAAAAAATTTGAAGTTTGTGGTAGGTGTTGTGTTTCTAACTTCAAAATTACCTGGAAACCGTTTGCAAAATATTAATAGAGTGTATTGGGTATTATTTTTGCAATTTTTAATTGCTACTCATTACAGGATGATGTCTATATGCATTTAACAAATTACGCCATCAACAAACACAGTTCTGACTTCATCAGAGATGAGGAGAAAGGCAGTAAAAGGTAAGAATGTGTTCAGTCCGCCATTACATCAAGTATTATCATTACTATTCATTCAGTCAGCCCCGCAGTCCTCAATAGACTCTTTTGGCAACTGTGTGCATTCCTGATTGAACTTGCCATGTTCCCCAGCATGCTGACGGGCCGTACTGTTGTGAGTGCACACACACAAATCACTGCTTGTATTACAGGAACTCCAGACATTCCCAGACAGCTTCCATTGAGAAGGTGAGAAGAGCATTTGTTTTGAGTTGAAACAGATGGTATCTATGAAATCTTGAAAGTTTTTAAGATGCTCCTTAATCAAACCAATATTTCATTTTAAGAATAAAATTTCCAGTTATTCAGTTGTTCTCCCAGCATTCAGATAAAAACGCCCTGTTTTGGTGCAAGGTTAACCAGACCAGTTCTTCCTCGTGAGGCACACCAGTTGGCCTCAATGAGTTTTCTAAAATAATGGTAGATTCGCAAGGGCTAACTCAATCTGACCAAAATTGAACTGATATATCTCTGAAAAGCCATAGCCTTATGACTTTTTGTACCTAGTACTGTTTCTAACAATTAAAGGCACAAAGGATCATTTGCTTTTCAGGCATTTTGTTTGTTTCCAATAATTACACCACTCAAAATCCAAAGAAGAATGCTCAAAACCTAGCCTGTTGAAGTTTCAGCTCGGTGGATATTGCACTTTTTGAGAAAAAGGTGAAAATATGTACAGATAACAAACCACAAGTTTTTTCCAACGTTCAGTCAATTGACTGATTGTTAGAAATCACCTACATCTCTTGATTTCTTCTTAATTGACCTATAGCAGTACAATCGCGTTAGAATCGCGTCAACGCAGTTTGTGAAATATTGTCCAATTACATGATATACAAATGGATGTGAAACGCGCAAAATCTGAAACAAACAAAACTTAGTGAAAAAAACTCCATTGTGTTGTCTAAGGGGCGTGGCTAACTTGCAAATGGCAATAGGTCAATAACAACAAGGCAGACGGAATAACTTCATGGGGTGTTTAGCAACAGTTTGATCTTTAATTACTTTTGGGATAACTACAAATGATCCCAAGTGCCTTTAGCTATCTACCACAACCAATAACACATAGGCGACATTTCCATATATTTTGTTTTTAATTTCAACTAGACGTTTGAGCACCTTGCGGAGGTGGTTTGATGAGAACGGCTACGATTCGGAAGCCATCTGGGAGGAGATGTACGACGTGATCATCAAGACGCTCATCTCGGCCCACCCGATCCTCAAGCACAACTACCGCTCCTGCTTCTCCAACATCACCAACCAGAAAGGCAGCAGCTGCTTTGAGGTGCTGGGCTTTGACGTCATGCTGGACAAGAAACTCAAGGCTTGGATACTGGAGGTCGGTGGTTTAATGTTGTGTTTCCTGTGCTTTTTTTTTACTTTCATCCCGAAAATAGATTCCTGTTTTATTTTGCTATTTTTCTGGCAATACAAAAGTTAATCACTTTGAGTGAGACATCGACCGAAAAATTGGCTAATGTTTAGTTATTGAATTATTGGCTGACAGACAGTAATTCAGTTCTTGCGTGATAGGCTGGTTCCCGCCCCACAATCAGTATCGATAGTGTTAACGTTCAGAGGACAGCTAGAAAAAGAATCAGGCAGGACTTTGTAAGAAAGAAAATTATACAGAAACAGTCTTTGCTGTAAAGACCAGTTACTTGATTTCATGTTCATTTACTGTGCATATATAAATAAGTGTTACTAGAACATACAGAAAGGAAAGCAGGGAAAGATTTAGCTGGGTACCTCGTGGCATATGGTGAGCCGATATACTGACTCAAAGGAGCTCCCAATGGAGATGGTGAGCTGATATATACCGGACTTGAACATCACGGACTGTTATTTCAATTCTGTTTGATTGAGGCAACAGACTCATATGACCCGGCCTTCATCCGGTTGCCAGAGATCAGTGTCGCCATTGTAGTAGGCAAAAATGGTAAAGCGCCGCGCATTAGCCAACACCTGGTGATTGTGACAACCGTACAAGGCACAGATAGTGACCATTATGCAATTTGTTGTAGGATTCGCAGATATTTTATGTGAAAATAAGGCCTTCTGTCTAGTTTACTACGTGTGACGTAGTTGCTAACCAACTGCTTGCCTACTGCAATGGTGGCCGATCACGGGGAAACCGGATGGTCACGTGGTACTTTATAATGTCATACAATACAAAGCCATTTCCTTACTCATAGTCAATTCACATGCGCCTCAATTGGATTTAAAAACCTTACCTTCACATCTTGTTTAGCAGATTCAACTTCTGATTCTCTTCTAGGTCAACCTGTCTCCCAGTTTCCACACTGACCACAAACTGGACAAGGAAGTGAAGGAGGGACTTCTCTTTGACACCATGAACATCATCAACCTGACGCCGTTTGATCGCAAGAAATGTCTTGAGGAGGAGCGGAGGAGAGTCAAGGACCGACTGATGCAAAGGGGCAAGAAAGAACCAAAGTGAGTCGGATGTATTGATGATAGCACCTAACATAGTGTGTCCCGTAATGTACAGAGTTTTGGTTTGTTGCCCATAAGTGTAATGGTTTAATTTCCAAGTTTCACAGAATGACAAATTCTGCTGGATTCAACAGAACAAAGTTTACCAGCCCGCAACAAAGTTTGGAGATCTTATTTTTTTTAATCTGCCAAATGTATGAAAACTGTTGGCAACTGTTAATTCAGTAATGGAGATAATGGTAACGTCAACAATTTTTACAGGTTAATTTTGTATTTTATTGAGATCTTCAAGTGTGCCATTTTAAAGGGCACCCAAACCACAATTTGTGCCCAATATTCACCCCTCCCATTTGACTTCCAGGCTAAATTTCAAGATATTTTAGTAGTATACATGCTTTTCACACCAAGCTTTACAAAGGCTAATTGCAGTACCAATGTTTATCTGAATTAATTTTACGCTCTTAACCCCATGCGTACGGGAAGCGGTCATGGCCGCGGCCGCTAATTTTCATTGGAATGCAGTTGCCAGCTGTGGTATGCCGCGGCACACGGCTAGTGGGTAGTTCCACAGCTGCTGCTTTTGTGCAGTCCCGCTACCACACAAAGGCTGTGCAGTCATGCGGGCCACTTGCTCTATGTGTGGAGGAATGTCCCCATTACACCCCGTCCTTAAGGGGTTAAAAAATGACGTTTCGCAGATCTCCTGATGAAATAGCATGCCTTGTTTATTTTACTGGAAAGTGAAATCGTACCTGTTTTTCCCAAGCACATGAAACTTTTTATGCCAAATTCAAGGCAAAGAGCCAATGAAGGTGCTGACCGCAAACAAGAATTAAAAAAGCAAGTTCAAGAGGGAGAAGGAATCTGTTGATATTTTGCTTGAACGGTGATAAGTTATAAGAAGGGGGCAGCAAGACCTTGACAACAGTGAGGTAGTGAGGCATTCAAAACAATGCCAACAATTCAAAGAAATCAGTTGTACTTATACTTTGATCTTCTTTTGTTTCATCAGGAAAGAGGAGTCCCTGGAGTCCCTGGCAACCATTCAGGACGCTCTGATCAAATATGAAGACGAGCACCTCGGCGGCTTCACTAGGATCTACCCGAAGGAAGGGAGTGAAAAATACGACAAATACTTCCAGCATAGCGGCTCACTGTTCCAGGAAACGGCTGCCTCCAAAGCCAGGGGAGAATGTGCTAGGTAAGACCGCGTCATGATTGCTCAGCTGTGGCTGGCAATATCATAATTGTCTGTAGGATGTGGCTTTATGGGGAATTGCAAGCCTTGGCCAAGTAAAGCCGTGTCCGAATTATATGGCTATGGCTTTAAATTACACACGTGTCTATGGGAAGTGGCTGCAGCCGCTACCGTAGACTCTTGTGTAATTTCAAGCTGAAGCCAAGTGATTTGGACCTGGCCTAATTCAGACGTAGCCTTAGATTTTTTCCCCAATTCCCCCCCCCCCATTTTTATTCATCCAGATTCAAGTAAACAAGTTGAATACTTGCCAATTTGTTATCGTGATATTTTCTTTTAATTGTTTTGTAATTTTTGTATTGTGCGCCATGAGCGTCTTGCTTGGAGGATACCGCCGCCTTATAAATGTTCATTATTAGTATTATTTAAAAGGTTTTCACTTTTGAAATTTGGACAAAAAATTTGCTACAAACTTATTTTCTTCCCTTTTAATCAACCAGTATCCAGTTGTAAGTGAATTATAGTAAAACAGGACAAACATGGATTTTTTTCTCTTGTCTTTACAATAAATGAGCCAAGCACGCGTAATATTAGTGGTCATTCTTATTTCTTTTGGCTTGCCCTTTACTGTCCTCACTAAATCTTATAAATCCACCATTTAAAGTGTCTTCCTCTGTCATATTTCCTCCAATTTCAAATGAAATTCCTGAAGAAAAATTAATATTTTTGGACATGGTAATGTTCAGGCGTGCAACTTTTCCTTGGATCAGCTGATTTCCTCGTTTTTCACAGTACAAAGTCTTGTAAAGCTTGGAGATTCCTCTTTTTTTTGTTACTTCCAAGTTGCATGCCTGAATGGTAGATCATCATTGCACATTTACCCTCACCTGCCTCCAACGAGTTTTTTAAACATTATTTGCATTTGTTGTTTTTTTGTAAAGACAACAAAGGGAAGAGCTGCGACTCAAACAGGAGAAACTTGAAATGATGCTGAAGAAGAAACCATCAGAGAGAAGAGACCCTGAAGGGATGAGACCAGAAAGCCCCGGCCGGGAGAAGATCAAACGGCGAAGCAGAGTCAACATACCCAGGGTAGCCTATGGGAAACGACTCAACCAGTCCAACTCACAAACAGAGGTCAGAATCTTTCAAAAATGTATTGCTTAGTCGATTTATGTGCTTACCAAAAAGTAGCTGGGAACCAATCGCGTACAATACGAATCCCATGACGTTTTGGCTGGTAACCTGGGCCCAATTTCTGCTAACAGAACCTCCCTCTACTTCATGGAGACTGTAAGTAGTAATAAACTGGCAAAGTAGAACTGAGGTGATGCTCAAAAGGCACGCTTACCTCAGAGGGAAAAGTTAGATTAGTGACGTAACTTCTGTGCGTGCAACCGTTTTAACACATCCACGCCATGAAAAGGTTAGCTCTATTTTCTGCTATAGTTAGCGCAACTTCTCTGCTAACTGTTAAATCAGCATCATGAAATTGACCCCTATTGTTGAGCAAAAATATTATGTGCTTAGCAAATTTCTGCACTAAGCACTTCTATGAAATAGACCTTTATAATGCTGCCACCATTTCAGTCATGTTCCCTGTATCCAATAACAGTACTGAATGATGTTTTTTGTGCAAAAAGGAACTAGATTATTTTTCTTTCCAGCCTTGCTTTGATTACATTGATTTGAATGGGGAAAATCAAGATGGCTGCAACATGATGATGGTCTATACACCCCAGGGCCCAATTTCATGGTGCTGCCTAACAGTTTAGCAGAAAAGTTGTGCTTACTATAGCAGAAAATTGTGTTAACCTTAAGCACTATTTCATGGCTCAGATGTGCTAACGTTTGCAAGCGCTTGGAGATTTCTATTGCTATGTGACTGATTTAAGCAACTTTTTCCTCTGGGTTAAGTGTGCTTTTGCTGTGCTTACTGCTTACGGTCTCCATGAAGTAGACTGAGGCTCAGTTAGCAGGAAATCATGTGCTAAGCAGTGTCATGAAATTTGGCCCAGATCATAAAGTCAATGAGAAGTAGAAGTCCGTTTTACAGTAATCATTTCCAACTGCAATAGTCGACATATCCTTTGGTTTTAAATTCAGGTCAAGCAAGACCAAGAGTTTATCAACACCAAAGAGCCGGCAGACATCCTTGAGGAGGAGGAACTGGAGCGAGTCAGCTCGCTGCTCCAGCGGGATAACCTGGTCCGGGGGTTGGGAGTCGTCGAACACGTCTACAGGTTACTGCACTGCACACCGGGCACGGTTGGGGTCATGAAGAATGCTGAGAGACAAGCTAATGTAAGTCTGTCTGCGTTATGTTTCCGTTTGAGTGTGCATGTGCATGCCACGGACAATATCCTAAGCAGCTAAACACAATCATTGCACGGATCTCTTTACTTTAAGATGCACTGTTCCTGCTATTTTTGAGGTTCATGCCGAAAACATGAAATATCAAGCGTAAAACATCAGCCCACAATTACTGCACAGATTTTGCATTATTTGCGGCCCGGCAAAAGTTCATTTTGCACAGGGTAGACTCTTTCCCGCCACCTATCAGTATGAAAAATGTAGAGACCAGGAACCGTTAACTTGCAGGGAAGATCTGTCAAGTACGTAAAATTCATCCAAAACAAACGTTTTTTTCAGAGGGTTGCAATTCCCAAAAATAACAGAAGGGTTTTTTTGGTCAAAAATGTGGATTACTTTAAGAGGAAGGAATGTGTATTTTAGTATTCTTTTTATCGACAAGGAAATTTTTACTTGATGTAAACATGCCAAAAGAACTTCAAACCCTTCAATCTTCGTGACAAGAAATATAAACTTCTTTGACAGCTGTTGGCATAATTTTTTAACCCTCAACCTCTCAGATCCTTCAAACTCCACAAGGAGGTTTTGAAGGATTTGCAGGATTAAAGCTATAGTCCATCATTTGTAATTAGTTCATTTTTTTCGTTTGAAGCAACAAAAGTGTTCAAAATCTAATGAAGGATACTGAACAACTTACTTGATGAAGTTTCAGCTCAGCTTCAGCTTCATATTCCGAGAAAAACAGCATTCTAGGATCTCAATTTAAAATCAAAAGTTGCTAAATCATGTTTCGAATTGTTTTGAATTGCAGCTTTACGCGATGTCGCGCACTGATCCGACGAATTATAGCAACCGCGTGCGCCTGTGCGTCGTTCCAATGCTTGTGCGCGCTGCGCCAAATAACAAAACGAACAACTAATTTAAATTTTCCTACGGTGATTCTTAAGAAGCACCGTTGGAAATGCCTTCTTTCGTTGATTTCTTCAAATGAGAGCTTGCCAGAAAGGATAATTTCACAGGGAGTTTAGTCCCCTTACTATCTTTCAACCAGTATGTTTTTCAACAATAATTACGCCAGTTACTTTTTTGGATAGCTGCAAATGATGGACTCGGGCTTTAAGAAAGGTAGAGCCGAGCCACTGTTTCTCTAGATGGGGCTTGATTCCCCTTGAAACATTTTTAGTACAAAGAATATGGCATCCATTTCCTGCCAGTTGAGGATTTCGGAGGAGTCAGAAAGGTGGCCTTCCAAAAATGAAGTTGAGGTTAAATCCTGAAATTCTACTGTAATGAAAATTAAAGAAACAACGTAGGATTTTTATGCTGCTAAGTTGTTTGCTTTAAGATTAAAAATAGATTTACTAGTTAGCAGTACCTTAGTCATTGCATAGATTACAGCTTGTCCATTTGGGATACATGGTGTGTTGATAGTTTGACAACATTTAGCATTCATGTGTGATGTGTGATTATCCTCGCATTTCTTTCTCTCTGTCTAGCTACTAACTAGAACTAATGCGTTTCACCTAGCCCTCTTTTCTTTCCTCTTTGCACTTGCAAGGCACTCGTAGACCACAGTAAACCCTCTCACGTCTGCACCCGCCGTCTTTGCACTAGTAGAGTAGCCCATCAGATGAATGCTTTCCTTCACCTTGAAACCCCTCCCGCCCTCCGATCCCAGGCCACCAACCCTAAACACCTCCCTACCCTTCCCAACGCCGAGTCCAGAAAGCTGGGCCGGCCCAGCGCCCAGTGGTCCGAGGTGTATACCTACAGCATCAACTTGGATAGCAATGAGGCTCAGATCAATGACGTATTTGTCAAGGATCCCTCAGCCATAGCCGCTCAGGCTAGCCGGTCTCAAAACAACTCGGCCGGTTCCTCCCAAATCGTTGTCCAGGACTCGCCGGGCAATCGAGCCAGGTCCAAGTATAAGGTCATATGCTGGCCGGCCGGCTGCCAGGAACCACTGACTGTGCACAGTATAGGCAGGAGCAGACGCTTCCTGCACGTTAGGCAGAATAAGAAGACTAGGGAGATTGTAGCCCACCCCCCTCAGGGGTTGATGCCCCGCCCACCCTCGGGATCCCAGGTGTTCCTCGAACGAACAGAGGAGGAGGTCGTTGGGAGTAGATTGAAAAAGCAAGATAGTGTGGAGACTCTACAGTCAATAAGTGAGGTATCTAGGTCTTATCAAACAAATCGCTTATGTTCTGTTTAAGAACTTTCATCCCCCCCCCCAAAAGAAAAACCAATTGCAACCAATGTTATCCATAATGGCCTGCAGTATATTCAACACCTTCATCTGCTATAAAAATATCAGCAAAGCCCACTTGTGTCCTAAAGATGATTCCGAGTGTTCTTAACTTTGTATGCATATTCAGCAAATTTAGTTGTAAGATAGCTTTTGGATTTGTCTAAATGGTGATTGTCGCAGGTGTGAGTCAACAAAGCACGGAAAAACAATCACATGTGCTTTTGATGTGCCACATACTGATTAAAATATCACACTGAGCAGCATTTTGAGAGTCCAGTACACCCCCACCCATTCTTCCTTGCCTTCCATCTTTGCTAGAATTCAGCACAATTCAGAGTGAAATGGACGAACTTGCTTCCTTTCCGAATATCAGTTTTAGCCTGAGCTGTTGCAGTAATATTTAGCTTTTGCTGTGTTGCTGCTTGCTGTGGTTTAATTGTGGCGAGCACATCCTACCCGGCTTCGTGCACCCAACCCTTAAATCCATCCCTCAACCTGTTTTGTAGCCAAGTCCATCACAGGTCCATCGCAGGTCCGGTCCAAACTAAAACACAAGTCCGGTCAAAACTAAAACACAAGTCCATTCACAAATCCACTCACAATTAACAGCAGATGAACAATAACAATAGAATGCCTTTGTCACAGTCCATTTGGGTAAACGTATGACTTGACATGAGACTAAGGGACTTGTGATGGGCTTGTAATGGGCTTGCGATGGGCTTGCGATGGGCTAGTGATGGACTTGTGATGAACTCAACTACAAAACTGCCCCCATGTGCCCACCCTCATCACCACCCCCACCCTCACCCTCACCCGCAACCTCATCATCTAGCCTCATCATCTGTCTCGCCTCCCTCCCTTCAGCATGAGCTCCAAGACCTGTCCGGCAAGAGTAGCCGGCTGACCTTCAGCGATCACATGGCAATCACCATGCCACCGGACGTCAACGCTCTACGTCCCAATAACCTTCCATATGCCGTCCATAACCCGCCCTCATCTTACACCCATCAGGTGAATAAAAGCCTACAAAGTCTTGTTAAATGTTTATGAAGACTCCACACAAAAAAATGGAAACTTTTGGAAGTGCTTAAAATGTTCAGAAAAGAACTCGCACAAAAATTAAGGGAAATTATAAAAATCTATATGAAAATCTCTAGTTTAAGAAAAGCATAATGGTGGAAAGTCTGGAAATTAAAACGATTGGTCTTCAAAAAATTCCTGTCACTAAAAATTAAGAAAAATGTCCAATATGGCGTAGTCATTTTCATGAAGATGTTTGTATATCAAAGTGAGTGCATGTAATTGGTTGACTGCATGCTGTTGTTATTGTTGCATTTGGGTGAAAGATTTTATTTGTGCATTTGTGTATGAAATCAGCTTTGCTCGTTGTGGTTAAAAAAGTTTACATAATTCCATTCATTGTTGGATTATAGTTACATGGTAGCCACCCTTTAGCAAGCCCATATTTTTTTTCCCCAGTAATAAACCATAAGACATCAAATACTACCAGATGTAAAAAATAATTTCTTCTGATCATGCAGCACCTTCATGTACAACTCAATCATCTCTGGGAGAAAGGTTAACTAATTTCTATATGTCATGTTCATGACGTTCATTTTCTCATTAAACATGCAGCACATTTTTTTGTAACAAAACTATCACTGAGATAATGGTTAACTATTTCTAACTTAGTGAGCAGTAACTGTGATAATAAACTTCGTCAGTTTGATAACTGAATACTTCTGTTACAAATTCCTTGACACTCGGAGGTAACACAATCTTTCCTAACCGTAAAATATTCCCCCATAGATATCAGTGCCTTCATCAACAGCCATGCGCATCCAGCCCCACCCGCCCGGCCACGTCACCAGTGGCCAGTGGCAGTCCATGCTGGCCAAAAACAGCCGCGGCCAGCCCACCCACAACCCACATCAGCCGTCCGCTTACGCCGTCGCCCAGAACCCCAATCCCACCACCCTCCAACAGAGGCACCGCTTTGTCCCCAGGAAGGGCTACCCGACCGGCCGCGAGGCCAGGCTCGCCAACACCGTGGTCCCCGAGGTGGAGTGGAAACATCTGGCCCACCTGTTGGACCCAGAGACTAGGGGCGCACCTGCCGGGGGCAGCAGGTTGATTACACAGGGTCAGAATGATTGGAGGTGTGTGGACTGTGTGAGTGGGGGTGTGTCTCATCAGCACCACTCTCAGGACAGGAGGATACTGAGTGCCAATACCCATCAAAGGAGGGATTACTGTAAGTATCCACACTCAGATATGATCACATTATTATGTCCTTTAATAAGAAGACATAATTGGTCCATATGTCGGCTCTTCATATTATAAATTCCTTAGAGTCAGCTTTGATACACCACATCAGCTCCTCAGAGCACTATTTAATTCATCCAATAAGGGCACTTAATTCTGTACTCAACAAGATAGAATTTTATGCTTGGAAAAGGACCATGTTAGTATCTAGAAAAATCTCAAGTTACTTTTCTGAAGTGACTGTCCACTGTTTGCATACAGTTCCTTATTTTGTTGAATGAAGATGTTAATCAGGCATGGTTGTAGAAGTGAGCATATATACATGTACTTGGTATAGTAGAACTATACTATGTAGTCTTCCATAAGGCCAAAAAAAAAAAGTCTCCGGTTTCTGGTATGCGCGCGCGTCGCCGTAGCCATGCGCGTCGGCAAAATGAAAAAGTTTTTTTTTCAATGAAAGATGATGTCTCAAAACCGCCAAACTCACTGGTTTGACTGGAATTCTGCTGCTGCACAATTTTAACGTGTTTTTAGATTGGGTTATGGTCAAGAATAAGCTTTATGTGGCTTCTCTGGACTCCCATATATTTGCACTAACTTTAGTCGGGCACCATTTGCAGTCATCAGCCGACATTTGAAGCAAAAAAATCGGGTAAAAAAAAAAAAAAAGCCGCGTCGCCGCACCACTTTTTGTGCAAGCTCCATACCAGAAACCGGAGACTTTTTTTTTTTGGCCTAAAGCACATTTGTTTTTTTCCCAAATAGGAAAACAAGCGATATATATTTACAGTTGACAATTTTCCCTCTTATCAGCCACAAATCCAACAAAGCGCATCGGCGCCGTCAACAGCACCACCAACCTGACCACCGTCACCATGTGCGCCACGCCCCCCAACATCTACATCGGCGGGGCCAGCAGCAATCACAACTTCCCCAACCTGATCCGCGTCACCCAGAGCCCGACCTCTGGCGGGCCCGCCACGCTCAACCTCTCTGTGGTCTCAGGGCCGGCGCCCGTCCTGCACAGGCCCGAGGTGGGATCGGCTGGCAGCAAGCACTCTGTTGGGAGAGTCGAGCGGTTAGGGAGTGCCAACGTGAACGACGGTTATTTGAGGTATGAACTGTGCTTCATGCACTTACTTCTTAAAAGTCACATGTATTCTAAGACATGAAAAATGTTGTGACTATTAATGAAAAGGGAAATTCATAATTTTGTGAGGAAGAGATATCCCCCCCCCCTCATTTTTTTGTTCATTTGATTTTAGGACAGATTTTTGTCCACTAACACTAATTTAACCCATTGCTACATTGTAGTACATTGTGTTTATTCAAAGAAAAATCCATAAAACCAAAGAGTGCTTGGGCGGTTTGGGGCGCTACAGGGAGTAGTAGACAGAGTGGTTTCGGGCGCTACAGTGACCAATGGGTTAAGGGGAAAATGTTATGTTCTTCGGGTTCATTTAACAGTAGCTGAATGTAGTGATTTGGGACACGACTTTTTTAACCTTGGGGAAGCTTATAGTGCCATTCAACTTGGGGTGCCATACATCTTGGGCTCCACTCACCTTAGGTACCATTCACCTCGGGTTTCATTCACCTCAGGTACCATGCACCTCTGGTGCCATACACTTCTGGTGCCATACACTTCTGGGCCTACACCTAGGCTCCATTCACCTCAAGTGCCATATACCTCAGGTTCGGTTCACCTCGGGTGCCTTTCACCTTGGGTGCTATTCATCTTGGGTCCTATTCACTCTGGGTTCCAATCACCTTTGGTGTCATTGCCTTAGGTGTCATTATGTTAAAACTCCTTCATTTCCAACAAGGAACAATAATCCACTAATTTCCCTGATACTAACACATTGGTATTCATGTAACTAAAGTTGGAAGTGCCAAACGGTAATCTAGCCTGTCACAAGAGGGCGTTTTCACCACCACCGCTGCCTGTCAAGGCCTCTGTTTTCCTGTATCATAGTAAATATTGAGTCCTTTCAACAAAAGAGAACACTTTAACCCCATATACTGACGTTGAATAAACTCATCCATTTTCATTAAAATCGGACAACAATTATCACCTATATTTATTAACATAGGCCCTACTATGGTACATGTTTGATCTTCCTATTCCGTCTCCTGCATTTTTCCACAGGCTTGAAATTTTTCTGATCATGATTAGATATGTCAATCTAACAAACACACATGTCTGCGTTGATTCATGAACACAAATGAGCATACGTTTTTCATGTTAACATTACTCACGATTAAACTACATATATTATAGAGGACATGCACAAGTTCATATTGTGCAGATATATTGGGCTTGCAGTTAACTGCACTATGTCATATTATCTAGTTGTCAAATGTAAGGTATATGAAGCCTTTGATATCAAGCCAAAAAAGAAAACTCATCCGTAGTCAGATATGTTTAGATATGGAAGTCAGCTCAGTCTCAGCTGATCTTGAATTTAAAGAGTAAGACATTTTTTTTATTTACCTTATTGGTATTGTTTTAATAATATTCTAAGATGACCATTTCTCATACATATATTAAAAAAAAATCAAATAAAATACTGGTTCACAAAACAATGTTCATGAAATATCCAAAAAGACAACAGAACTGTCGCATCAATTCCATAAAGACAAAAATATATTTATTCATATTTTCGTTTGGCCCCATACTTGTCATGTTTCTATGGGTTGTTATACTCGGCTGTAATTAACAAACTGATTGCTAACAATTCCGACAGAGCTCACATCGTCATGTACATTCATAATCTCACATGGTTAACCTTTTTGTACTAACCCTTTTTCCTCATTTTAACACCTCACCCATGGACTCGCAGTTGTAAGCGCAACCCCCCGGGCCTGCCCATCGTGGCCCTGAAACTGTCCCACAGGCCCAACTATACCTCCTTATGCGTGCCCATACCGGGGGTGGCACGGCCCAGCCTAAAGTGTAGGTCTGACCAGCATGGTACACTGTGTGCGTGTGTGGCTTTACGTTGCATGGCTGTTATTGCTGCTTGTGCCGCGCAGTCGGCCGGCCATAAACTGGCTAAGATCAAATGTCTTGTCATCTGTTGCTTTTTTATGACACATTTTTGAGTGTAGCAGATATTTGTGTGTAGGTATCAGTCGTGTTGCTAGAGCTGCATGGATATTTTTTTTTTCTGAGAAAGCTTGTCGTAAAAAAAAGCTCGTCTTTAAATCTGCCTATTTGCAAACAGCCTGCATATTTTTATATTCGTTTATAGTTTCAGAGAAGACACCAACATATTTTCAGAATAGACGGGATGTACCAATGCCCTTTTCACCTTTGGAATCAACCTAACTTCTTTATTTTTAGTATAATGTTATTGTATATAATACTGGAAAAAAACTGGCATGATTTGAATCAGAGGAACCTTTTGACAGTAATAACTGTATTTATTTGTTGGCAGCAAAATTATATGAAAAAATTCAGAATTGAAAACATTGTGGCCGTTCAAATACTTTACAGGTCAGGTCATCATATTTGCCAAATTCTTGAATGAATTACGAAGCTTCTCTTATTCCACCTTTAAAAAAACAAAACAAATATGAACATCTGGCCATGTGATTGTTTACTCAATTTGAGGGAACACATTTCAGGAATGTAGAAATGAAATATGCCAAGCTGATGGTCTGTAGAAGACTGTGCATTGAGATAACCAGACATAAATGCAATATTCAGTACGTCATGTTTAGGGGTGTGTGTGCTGTGAATGGCCTGTACACGCCTGGTGGAAGTTTCTGTCTCATTTGATTTCATCAATGCTTGCATATAGCGGCAAATGCTAAAAAAGCTTCCATGAAAGCATTGTCTGTACCAAAAAAAAAAAATTGCGGAAAATATAAATCCATTCATTGTATTGTATGTTAAAATTCAAAATATTCAGAATTCTTGTTAAAAAGTTATTCAAGGGAGAGTAATGCTAAAGTAGTCACTAGAAGTGTGCGTTTCCATCCAGCTGCAGTTTTCAATTGCTATGTACATTCAATGTAAGCAAACTTGACATTAGATTGAAAATGTGGCTAAACATGCTTACTGTCCGCACATAAATGTGTCCATGTTAAGATAAATAAATTATTTGCTTGCAAAAGTAAGCAGTAAATGGAAAGTTATCTTGGGGTTAAAAGCCTTATGTCAGACAAAACCTAAAAATTGTCAATTTGTGATGCTAAGATAAACGCATCTACTGCATATACTGAATTTGCAACTTTTACCTTTTTGGGTGTGTCATGTATTGAGTGGCTTGTTGCAATGACTACAAATTTGTTTTCTAGTTTTTACAATAATGTTAATGTTTCATTGTTTTGTTGAACATTGCAGGTCAACAAAATCACAAAGACTAAGGGGTACGTCCAACACACTGAGATTAAAGGTAGGACAAATCCCTTTCTTTGGGTGTGAAACAAATTATAAAATTCGCAAGTTTAAAGAAGTTTCAGTAAAACTGGATGAGACCTTATATAAAAAGAAAGATTCCTCGATGTTGAAAAAAAAAATTATGAAAAAAAATGAAGATCACAGAATACATTTAATTTGCAATAATTTTGGCTACTATTTTACAGTAAATTTGTTAAATGGATTTGTGATATTCTTTGCATAAATGTCTAAATGTCAGATCCTTAATTCCAAATAATGATATATACAGTGTACATTGTACTTCTTTGGACACAGCATTCCCCTTTTTTCTTAACTCAAATGTTTCTTCATTTTTCTCCAGCAACTTGAAATGCGCGAGAACCACGCGGTAGTGCTCAGCTGACAACGATGAGTTCCATGACCTATAAGACTAGCAGTAGACAGCACTCGCACTGCACCGTGGGCGCATCACCGGCAGGACAACCATTAGCAGGAGGCCCTCTTTGGTGAGACGAGACTGGACAGGAGTAGCTGTGTGGAGGTAACGCTACCTCAAGCAGCCCTTGCGTTTCACTCCTTGCCTGCATCACTGACCCATGAGAATGGAACGGTCCGTGGTAGAAGATGACTGGTATTCTGCCAAAGGTGACTGGTGTCCTTTGACCTCTCCTATCTGGTTAAGGAGTGAGTCTGGCAATTAAGTACAGACACTGCACACTTGAGTGCTGTTTATCAGTTTTGATTTTCTTAAGATTTTCAGCCCCTGCCTTAACATGGTCGTGTGTCTTACTGATTGAGTGTTATTGTTCAGCTGTCACAGCACACTCTGCTGAACTTGGAATGTGATTGCCCTTGCCTCTAGATTTTGGTAGTGTAAATCCATTGTAATATGGGGTTTGTTGATTTGATGGTAACAGCGACACTGCAGAACTGTAGGGCTGTCCTTTTTCGAATAATTTAGGGTTGGATTATTCGAAACTGCGGTTGAAAGAATATTCAAACATACGAAACCTCTGATCAGGTTTTACACATGCCAGCTACATGTGTCGTGCTGGTCAAAAGTTGCATGCAAAGCCCACTGGTTAAAATTTGCGCGCGGCGATCGATATGGGCCGCAGGAGTGTTTAGCAATTTTATAAGGATAGGAAAAATGAACCGCTTTTGACCAAAAAGTTACAGTCGACAAAAAGTGGCATCTGACAATGAAGCACTGCAACTCTACGATTACAATAACATCACCGTCCTGTGTGTATGTGCGTAGTTTGTTTTTTCTTTTTTTGCTTGAATATTCAAACCGGCAAAAAGCTATATAAATATTCGGTTGATGATCGAATATTCGAATAATGGAACAGCCCTACAGAACTACAGAGGATATCAATACATGGGTGGAAGTGGATCAGTCCGTGTCAAATCTGGTTTGCTTTTGAATTCATGGTAGCCAGAAGTGACATTGCGCCACTAGACCCCTCTCATAGACGGCCATCTTTGTAGGAAAATTACACCTGTGTATTCAGTTTGCAAAACATTCCACACACATCCCACTCACCTTGACTGAAAATGAGCATCCAGATTTTATATATAGGTGTGTATGTGTCTATGGAATGTATACACAGTTTGTTTTTCTGTACATTACCATGCCTGAAGGGTATCAGTTTCCAGTATTCCAGCATTTAAAAAGAAATAGTAATGATTAAGTTATTAAGGGCTTTTTGCATGACACCAGTCAAACCTACATTGGAGTCGTTGTTTTTGTTTTTTTCAGATTTTTATTTAATGAATTTGTATGTCTAAGTGTCTCGAAGATACCTCTATCCCAGTGTTGTAGTTGAGTCCATCACAAGTCCCTGCAAGTCCATCACAAGTCCTTCACAAGTCCATCACAAGTCTTTTTTTTCCAGTCTCAAGTCAAGTCACTAGCTATTCAAATGAACTGTAACAAAGGCTTTCCTTTGTCATCGTTCATCCTGTTACTTGTGACTAGACTTATTTATTTCTTATTTTAACTGGGTAGCCCATTCAGTGGAATCCACTGATCTCCCCATGGGTCCCAGTAAAGAGAAGACAATGTGAAGAAATTACAGTTTTAGAGGTAGGAGGAAAAGCCCTGAAGAGTATTCTGAGGAAAACCCACGGAATCAGGTTGGGACTGAAAATCCAATCCACATTGGCCCAGGCGGGATTCGAACCCGGGTCACAGCGGTGGAAGGCGAGGAAAGTACCGCTACGCCAACCTGACTCCCCCATGAATGGACTTGTCACTAGACTTGTGAAAGAAATTGTAACTGGACTTGTGCAAGGACTTGTGATGGATGCGACTACAACACTGATCAATCCTACTACAATGTACATACCTAGCAACGTGTGCACAACTCTTTCATTTTAAGCGTGCACTGTATCTGTTTCGTCTTTGGATACTGTCACAAATTATTCATATCAGTGATATATTTTTTCAGGTGGTAATGAATTTACATTAACTCCAAAGTACCTCTAGTACACATGCTATGTTAAAGGTAGAGTACATCATTTGTCATTTGTGCATTTTGTTTTTTTGAAGCAACAAAAGTGCTCAAATTCTAAAGAAGGGTGCTTAACAACTAACCTGATGAAGTTTTATATCAGCGAATGCTGTATATTCCGTAAAAGCAATATTCTAGGATCTTGATTTCAATTCGAAAGTTGGCGAGTCATGTTTTGAATTGCGCCTGAAATCAGCATCCGAGACACGTTCTCATTCAGTCTATTGCAGCTACGCGATGTCGCGCACTGATCCGACGAATAATAGCAACCGCGTGTGCATGTGCCTCCTGTCAACGCTTGCGCGCGCACTCATTCACGGCTTCGAACTACTAACGGAAATTTCCAAAAATGCGTCTTTAGACACATCATTGGAAAAGGCCTTCTTTTATTGTTTACTTCAAAATGACAGCATGCCAGAAAAAAATAATTTCACAGGGAGTGTGGTACCATTACCATCTTTAAACCAAGTATAATTTTCAACAATAAATTTGTCAGTTACTTTTTGGATAGCTGCAAATGATGTACTCTAACTTTAACTGTCAACGGTCAGTTGTTTTCAGTAACCAGCTACATCAGTGTGCTAATTGTGTGCAGTTTAATGTGTGCAGTTTAATGTAGTGAATGAAGTCACGATCAAAGTTGAGTTAAGTTCTAGTTAAGTAGAATATTTGACATGATTAGTTGAAACAAAATAACATGGCAGTCTGTATTCCAAGCCTTGTACCATGAATGCTCCATCGACAAAAAGAGCACGGTTTGAATGAAAGATGTTGTAGAGTATTAGTGCACTGTTATACTCATTATACTCATTATACTCATTATTACCCACTTGTCATTTTGAGTTGTAATTTTTTTTTGCTGCAGTCTGAAATTGGACTCTAACCTTAAGATGTTTTGTAATCAAACTTACTATGAATCTAAAGCAAATACTTCTGATAGGAAAAATACGATTGTACAGCTTTCATTTAGTGTTTACTAAAATCGTTCTTGATTTTTGTACAAAATTCTTATTATTCCAAGGCATGGTTTTAATCGTCCATTTTCCTACACATTCATTTTGTTCGATCATAGCTCCATGGTTCGATTGACCATGAATGTTTATCTTATGAATGTTTCTCTTGAAGTCCCCATGATGCTCGACGGCAAGCATTCCTGAATGAAATTATATTTTATGACATGTATTGTATGTGTTTTATCACATGCACTTGTCCAATTTCCATAGGATTTTTGTAAGGTTTATTCCCGCCATCGTTTAAGTTAAAACTCCTTTACATCAGCTTCCATCCTGAGTATTTTGCAATATTCGGAAACATCTGACTATCCGTCCGCAATTGAATTCAATGTGCCTGTTCAGTTGGGGTTCAACAGTTATTTATACATTTGCAACCTCCGTCCATTTATCACTCTTCAATATTTACATCTTCCTTTAACTGTCAAATGATCCGTCCTTATGGAATAAGCAGTGCCTCCACAGTTTGCATTATAGCAGTGCCATATGTAACTTTCATATTTAAGTAAGATTTAAGGCTTTGCATGGTGCAGATTCTAATGAATGAAAGGTTTGCGGAAATACCATGTGCGAATAATTTCTCAACCAAGAGAATGGTTCTGAAAAGAACCAGAGGTATAAACCATTCTCTTAGTTGAGAAATTATCCACACATGGTGTTTCCGCAAACCTTTCACTTTCATATTTGTTAAGCAGTCGGAACAGTAATTTACTGTGATTTTGTTTTGAATTCTTGGTATTCAAAACAAAACTTGATGTACGTTTATTTGAAAAGGATTCACAGCTTACATGTAGATTTAATACAGTGAACATTTAATTTAATGAAGTGGGGGGAAAACGACAGTTACCTGAAAAATTGTGTAATTCCACCAGCATCCCCATGCTTTCAGTATTTGAGTTTTATCTTGCTGAAATTTCCATCGAAAGGAACTTTTTACTGTGGCTTTGTGTACATATATTTCAACACACAGTAAGCTTGAAAATCAACTTGATTTTTTTACCTCAATTTTGATTGCCGATTCCGTGCTTTACGCCAAACCAGATCGTTGAAATGACTTCCAATCGAATACACATTTTGATAACAAAACTAAAGATGTATATTTTGAAGCATTTTGTAATTAGTGTTGCCAAACTTTCTGTACAGTAAAACTGTTTCATTGTTTTATTAATGTATATACTATAAACAGTGTAATGACAAGTGAATAGCGTGTGTGCTTTGTTTCACTGCAGATACCGAGTTAACTTGTTTCCTTCAGCATTTTTTTATGAAGTCATTTTGATATTTTTATTGGTTTGAAGTTAAGTTGGCTTTTTTTAGTCTGTGAGGAAAAAGTCACTAACTGTTGTCAATTAGATGTCGTCAAAAGGGATAAGCTTTAAGCAGTTTCTGAACAGTCCATGTTTTGTTATTGGTATTTTGTTATCATTTTTTATAGACATGCACAACAGCCGTGTAGTGTCTCTGTGTCAGCACATTTCTGACATTTTCCATCTAATATTTAATTTCATAAATAACTGGTACAGAATGTTTCCAAACATACATCTTGTAGCACTGACGTTCATCCGAGAAATACGTTTATTTGATCTCTGTGCCTTTCATTTTTAAGCGGCTTTTGATTTTTTGGATTTTTCTTTTTGCAGTATTCATCACTTGATTTTAATTATTGCATGTGATATTTAATAATTATGATTCCATCCACGTATTTAATGAAATTAAAAGCTTTATGAACAAGCTTCATCTGTTATATTTGTGTCTTTGTGATTATTTGAAAACTGTAGGCCTATGTTGTGAAATGTATACAATATTCTGCTGTGATCAGCTCATTCAATTAGAAATGTCCTGCTTTATTTAATTCAATGTCTGATTCTTTCTCTTTTTGAGTTAGGTCCACGATCATTTCATAACTTCACAAAATTATTAGTTAACCGATCGGTTAACAGTAGATTCTACAAGCCCGTTGATTAAGGAAATAGTGATGATATTTGCAACGATTCGGCGAGATAGCAACTGAAAGTGAATCTTGTCCATGTATGTGCATCTTCCTCGTCTTTCATCGGACAACCTACACACTTAAGGAACCGTACAGGGACAACCTACACACTTAAAGAACCGTACAGGGACAAGTGTTCGATTTGGAAAATAAAACTATTATATGGGCTATGTGCATCTCACACCCAAAAAAAGTTCTGAGATGTAGATATGTGGGTCTGGTGAAATAACCACACAAAAATGGTGATATAATTTTTTTTCTGACTTATCCTGTACGCATCATTCCTTATTATCCCTTTTTCTAATGGTACATAATATACACAGTAGAGGAATTTACATTCCTCCATATATTCACACACTTTCGCCCAGCACACTCATCGTGCAAGCTCATCATTAGTCTTGGGCCGAGACGAGCTCATCATCAGCGTAGTCTGTCTGCCGGGCCGGGCGTGTCAACCCGGGACATCTTGTGGTATGTTGCTCCCCAGCCCTTCGCGCTAGTTGCGGTCCGACCCGACCTACTGTGGAATTTGATTTTCTCCAGCCACGACGCCTATAATGAAACAAGACTGTAGGGCATGTTGGCGTTATCTGCCGGCGCATAGCATTTTAAAAAATTATGTCAGCAATTTACGATGATTATCATATTCAAGGAACACCTTTTTTCATACATTTGTGATGCGTAACTTCAATTCGGTAATTTTGCCGTATTGTTTTTTTTTTTTGGGGGGGGTAAGCGAGGCTTTGGTGATACAATTTGACAAAATATATCAAGTGCAAAGATTGCCTTATAAGTGAGAAATTAATGCAGAACGAGACTAAATTGTCCTTTGTCAGAAAAAGAACATGAGACCAAAGGAACGGTGGTATGATGACCCTTAATTCTAACTTCATAAATTTAAACCCTAAATATTCTTAATAAAACTGATGACCCTCCTCCGCATCCGTCCAGGAGCTGTCAATTTCAATTAACGGAGCCAGAATATTTGGCTCCGAGGTATCTGTACGTTGTACAGGGTGAGTAAAAATATATGTCCCTTTGGATAAGTGTTTGTCTCCCACAAAAACGGGAAAGGTTAGCGGTTTTTTTCTCTTCGGCCAACATTCGATCTGGGTATTGACCACATTCAGTACAAATTTCACTGATATTCATCCATGTATGCAAAGGATACAGCCCTTTCTTTGTGACTACCCAAAACTTCACGGAGTCCTACAACACTATAAGGCTGTTCGTGTTTGCTGGTCCCCGGGGCCAGCTTATAGTGTCCTCTTTTTTACCTGACTCACTGACTGACTGACTCACCCACCGTGACTCAAATGTGAGCCTGGCAGTGCTATTGTATAGGATTACCCTGCAATTAATGGGCTAAAGCCGGCGAATTGTGCTGACCAGATACACGAAAAGACTCCACTAAAATAGCAATTCCGAATCGATTGAATAAAAGTTTGTGCACTCTGGGACTACCTTTATTAGGCTTACCAACTTGTTGAAA